GTTGGGAAATTTGGAATTGTTCCATTTTGTAAAAAATATTTATTTCATAGTATCTAAATACCTAAAAAATATTAAAAATGTAAAAAATCTAAAAAGGCAATGGGTATGACTTTATTTATTAATAATAGATTTTTTTATTTTTTATTTTTTATTTTTTATTTTCATTCAGTAGCACTATAAAATTATTTTATTGTGCTCTTATTTATTATCTCATCATCTCCTGTGGAACATGGATAATTCTTGAAAATCTAAAAAATAAAAAATCAAACCCTTGATAAATAATATTTTTACTAATTATAAATATTTGTCGATGGAAATTCAATTTAATTTTAACACGATGGTCTTGAGCTAGTGAATTCCTATTCTACTATTCGTCTATGGCTTTATGTACTTTGTTATGAAATATCGAACTATCTAGTTATGAAAGTTTGTATAACGAAGAAATATATTATGCAATAAATATTGAATTTCAATACTCGATTATATATATATATATATATTCCATAAAACAATGCAATATGTTGGAAAATTTTCAAAATTATGAAATAAAAAAAGTATTGTTCAACAATTTTTAAGCAATTGGATATATAATATATATATATAGTACTTTTTTTTTGTTTTTAACAAAATATACTCTTCTCGTCCCACTTAGACTCTTTTAAAATTTTGTAATAAATTAAAAAATAATACTATTTTATTGATTAAAATTTCGATATTTTTACTTTTTGATTTTATGTATAAAATAATTGTATTTATAATGGTAATTTAGGTAAGAGTTAAAAATATATTGATATTAATGTATGACTATTTTTACTAAAATAAAAATATATCTTTTCAAGTGAAATATACGAAAATAATAATAAAAGAAAAGTATTTTGGGTTGCAAGACGGAAAAAATATATTTAATATAAATATTACCTATATATATTGCTTAACACTATGAATTTTCTGTATATATGCTATGTATTAGATAATCACAATGTATTGTGATCTTAGTAATTTCTATAGTTATTTAAGTTCTGGGTAAACTGTTTTTTTAGTCCCGATAACTGGACCCCCTTATCATTTTAGTCTCGTAAGTGGAGCCTATCGCAAAACTAGTTTCATAAGTGAAAAATTTTCGCTGTTTTAGTCCTCCGGCGCTGGAGATGCCCGCGTGGCTCGCCGGAAGTGACGTGTTCGCCAGGTGTCGCTGACCTGGTAGACACGTGAATTTTTTATTTTTTATTTTTCATTTTTTAAATTTTTTTAAAACTTATTTTAATTTTATTTGTATTTTTTTATTTTTTTTATTTGGTCCAATTAAAAAAAAGTAAAAAAAATAAAAAAAAATAATAAATCCACGTGTCCTCCGGGTGTCACTGACCTGGCTCGCCGGAGGACTAAAACAACAAAAAATTTTTACTTATGGAACTAGTTTGCGACATGCTCCACTTACGGGACTAAAAAACAGTTTACCCTTCAGTTTTTAATACTAATTTTGATGGTCTTTGTATATACATTATTTTGGGGAATGAAAATAGATTATTTGTGAATTTTTTCCTTAGATGATATATATATTTTTCAAAATTCTATTATTTAATTTTCATAATTTCTATAATAATACATTATTAGTCTTACAAAGAATCACATCTAAACTATTACTCAATTTTTGTTTTTAGAAAAAAAATAAAAATACCAAACACAACCAGAAGAAATCTTAACTAACAATATTGTCATTAATTTAGTACACTTATTTTCTGAAAAAAAAAATATATATATTTATTTATCAAATTTCATAAATTATATATTAGCCAATTAGCATTTTAAAGCAACCAGTGAATTTAATAATTTATTTAAATAGTGGATATAATTATAAAATTATGTAACGAATTGTTGGTTGTGTTTGTTTGAAGAATTTAACAAATTTATTATTTATACAAAATTTCTCTTTAAAAAAAAATCAAATCAAAACACTTAATTTTTATTTTCTATATTATATTAAAAATCAATTTTACATTCAAAATATCATATCGATATTTATTTATATTACATTATACCACTATTTAAATTTTAAAATTTTTACTATTCAAATTTTAATCCAAAATCCAAACCTCCAAAAACACACGTGCCAATAATAATAATAATAATAATGATGATGATGATGTCGAGAGAGAGATTTAGAGAGAGACATTTAATTTGGTGAACGAATCATGCAAATATTTTGATTTGTGGTTGTAATTAAAGTTTTTTCCTTGCATGGATTTCATAGCGTCATTATTATTACTAATTATTAAATTCTTGTCCACATTCACCCATTCCTTAATTAATTCAACGTTATTTATCATTTTAAAAAATAAAAATAAAAATTGTAGGATTCTTGTGATTTGATTTTATTATTCAATATACTTAATTAATTACTCTCTCCGTCCCAGATACAGTGTCTGCTACACTGTAGACACGGTGTTTTAGAAGGGGTGTAATTAGTAGATAATTAACAATGTACTAGTGAAAATAAATTATCCTATAATATAAATAATTATAAATTAAGATTAAGATAACTAATTAGTTTCATTAAAATTAAAAAAATAAAATTAAAAAATTTAAAATAAGATTAAAATGTGTAATTTTCCAAAAAAAAAATAATATGGTATGTAGAACAGACGGCAACGGAGACACTGTATCTGGGACGGAGTATCTTTTTTCTTGTACCCGACGTGGACGTTAAGAACTGCTACATCTCCGCAAATATTTGATTTTAAAATTAAATGGGCCTGATTTATGATTTTAATAATATTAATAATAATCAATGGCAAAAGTTTTTATATTTTATATTTTTTAATTTTTAAGTGTAAATATAAAGGGCGGGACATTGGGTCTAAGTTAGAGTTAGAAGTTGAATTTTACCAAAAAAATAAAAATAATAATAATAATAATTAAGTTTTACTATTGAATAATATCCATCTATAATTCAAATATATGCGCATATTTGATTGTAATTTGAGTTATAATATAATAATATATATGGTTAAAAATAAATAAATACTATCTTCGTCCGATTCTAAAAGTTTTATTTATTTTTTTGTATGTTGATATTTGAATATTAATTATTATATCAAAACGTAGTATAAATTAAAAAAAATTTAAAAATACTTCAATTAATGTGTTATAATACTAATATAATAAAATTTATACAAAAAATTATATAAAAATAAAAATATTTTTAATGTTAAAGTATAATGATGCAAAATGTAAATGTGACCCTTAGACGGAGGGATGAAGTATTATATTTTAAAATTGATAAAAATATACTCCCTCCGTCCACTTACAATGTTTACATATTTCTATTTTGGGACGTCCAATTACAAAGTTAATATTTCATTAAATACTCTACTTTTTTCTACAAATACTATTATTTTACATCTCACATCATTACTTTTATACAAAAAAAAAAGTAAGAGCAAAAATGTCATTACATTACTTTTAACTACTCACTATAATTAAAATACTATTATTTCTTAAACACCGTGCCAAAAATAAATGTAAACTTTGTAAGTGGACAGAGGAACGTATATATTTTTTAGTGTTATTTCACAGAAAATAAAATTATGTATTCATGCGGTATGCTATCACTATATTTACTTTGTTATTTTAAATTGTCCACAATTAATAAATTCATTTTTCAATTCGGTAAATATCGATGAGTTCTTTCTGTAAAAAATACTCAACACATTTACCCTAAAAAAATATGTATTACTGATACTCATTATTTTGTATTATCTACGCAATTCTCTATACATAACATGAGTTATTTTGTTCTTCAAACCAAAACACAATACAAATATACCCACGAGCTCTAACTATAAATATGTATTAATTTGATATTTTAAATATAAAATTAAATTTTAATATAATATAAATAAAGATATTTAATTTATGCTTTTTTTTGGAAGGAAAAATTTATGGAATAATTGAACGTTTTAAAAACACCACAATCAAACACATCCCACTTAAAATAAATCTGAAAAAATAGTTTAAAAAATAAAAAATAAAAAAATAAAAATTGAAAGTATAAGCTTACGGAGTGTTGTAACCGATCAAATTACGAATGGTTCGTGTGGGTGAGGGAAATCCCGCACGCCCATCGGCACATGTCATGTCACGTGCAACTCCATTGCCTCCGTCAAAGCTTGTCACGTGCCCGGTTGTTGTTTTTGTACCATACTTTTATATACTCAATCGAATCAAATGGTACCTACATTCGTACGTGCTATATATTCATGCAACTTTTATTTATATTTATGGATATATTTATGTTAGGACACACACATTCTACATGCATGGGGTGTGGATTTCAATAAATTGAAAGCAAAACGAACTTAGGTGGTTGTATTTGTTTTGGGGTTTTTATAGTTTTCTTTTTTAATGATTTTCCTAATATATATATATATATTAAATTAAATATTTATTTTCATTTAAAAAATTAAATTTTCATTAAAAGCAGTGTACCGTCATCTATTTATATTATATTAAATAATTATTTCAATTGAATATTTTATTATTTAAAATTTAAATGTAAAATTCAATGGTGTGTTTGTTTTGGGAGATTGTTGATTTTTTTTATTTTTTTTTTTTAATGTAAGGTATAAGAAATTTTGTAGAGAATATAAAAATAATGAATATATGTAGTATATTAATTTTTTTTTTAAAAAAAATGTATGCTTAATATAAATATAGATATTTTGAATATAATATATTTTTTAAAGAAGTAGGCCGCTACTAATCTGCACATCACATAAAGAATGTGAAATTACTATAGAGTCTTTTCCACCAAATTTATTTTACTTAATATTATTCAAAAATATTTGAAATAAAATAATAATTAATATAATATTTTGAATGAAAAATAAAATTAAAAAACACAATAAAAATAAACAAAGCATTTATTTGCAAATACTTCGAATTACACTTAATTCAAAATTTAAAATTCTTCTTTAACACATAGATGATCATTCAATCAACTATGGTACATTTCTATTACTATTCAATTGTCTTTTCACATATGCTTTTCGAATGTTATTAAGCTTCTTCGACTGCTCTGCGATCACTGCATCTGTCGAAGGATTTTCATCGAACACGATTTCATAACCATCTCGAAGGCCGTCCATTCCTTCCATTAGAAGCTGCCAAAACAACCCGCCGGCTGCCGCTCCTTCTTCCTTAGCCGATAAATAAATCGTCGAAAAAACTGTCTCGAACATCACATCCCTCTTCGCCGTACTGTATCCCGAATCCTTACAAGACTTTCCGAACTCTGCAACCATAATAGGCTTCTTGAGAACCTTAGCCGCATCGCGAATGTGGTTGTTGTGCCACTCGTTCAAGAACGACATCTGCTCTTCGTCGCTTCGATTCGTTAACCTGAAAATTCAACCATTTTTTAGGTAAGATAAGATAAGATAAGATAAGATATGATATGATATTTTTTTATATAGGTTAAACTTTTACGTGATATGTCACTTAACAAGATAAAAATTCATGTCTTTGGACGTTAATATTGGTATACCATTGGTCGGGATATGAATGGATAGTTGCAAAGTCGATCTCCGGAATCAAATTGTTGGTTAGAAAATCCGTTCCGGTTTGAAAATGTGTACTATTGTCCTCATCCGATTGCCCGTAAAAGCCTTCGAGTCCAACCTCGAGTAGGTGGTGGCTATCTATCGACTTCACATAGCTAGCCATTTCAGCTATCCAAGCCTAATGACATTAAAAGAACATCGGGGCTCATTCATCATAAAAATGTAGCAATTGCAGATTTTCACATCATAAAAATAAAAAAATAAAAATTTATAATCAAATTGGTATTATTACAAAAACTGATAACCTGTAAAGTAGCTCCCGATGGATCGGAAGAGCATCGGGGCTCATTAATGAGCTCCCATGCCATTATTGTCGGGTCATCCTTGTATGCAATTCCCGTAAGGTTGTTTTGCCGGTTGAGGACAACCTAAAACAATGCATCAATGATGATTATAAACTTCAATAAAATTATATAATATATAATGATGACGATCTTTATAACAAACTATTCATCATTTTATTACATGAATATGACTTTTGTAGTAATCCTTCACTACAGAGTTTGTGAAGAACTCATCCTCCAACGACACATTTTCCCCGTGGAACGTTCTTGCCCAATCTACATATCGTTGTTTTCCTCCAAAATCTTCATAATTGTTCACTAGGCTTAGAATCAATCTGATTCCCCATTTCCGAGCCTCTGAAACCACGAAATCCAATCCCTATATATAGACCAAATAATCAATCCTTAATCAGGATAGACACAAATGTATGATGATTATTAAATGACAATCTCATATAAAAACTTACTAATACAAAATTACCATATTGAATCATTAACCACTGTATATCTCACATAAAAATTGAAGTAATTCATCATTAATTACATATTATATAGACTTCCAACAATGATCAAGACATATAAGCTCAACCTGGAACATTTGTTCATTGTAAGAGCCCGGAGAATATTGTAAAGGAGAATCTCCGCCGTCAGAAAATGCCCATGCCCGAGTGATGGCGAGGCCATGCCTGGCGGCCGCAACGAATGCCGACGAGACTTTAGATCTCTGAGTCGGATCAGAAGCAACAGACATGAGCCAATATGCATTGAATCCATTTGCATAAAATGGGATGCCCTCAAGCATCAAATGATCCTCTTGAATTGTGATGAATTCATAGCCCAAATTGATTTTCAAATTCATTGCTAAAATAACAATAATCAAGAAGACTATTATTATTGTTTGATTCAAATTTCTCATTTCTTTAACAAGCAATGTAAGAAGTCTTGATTAAGGGTTTTAATGTATTGAGTTGTTGGTGTTTATTATGGTATATATAGTGAAGTATTGTCAGATTGAAACTTTGGTAAAAAGAACATGTGATAGAAATTTTATTTTATTATCTATTATTATTTAAAAGCATTCATATTTTTCTACATATTTGTACTTTACTTTTTCTTTTGCACATTATCTTATAATATATATTCATATTACAAAGTGATTAGTTAACAAATTACGAGTTTTAGTATAATAAGAAAAATCTAAAATATAAACAAATACCACATAGTAATATTATACACAATATAAATGCTAACATACATAATAATAATAATACATACAATATATATCACAATTAATAATAATATATATAGTATGTTAATATAATACAAATATATAGTATGAAGTAACAATACACGACAATAATTCATAAAATCCATATTGTTGTAATTTTAATCATATATTATGTGCTGATTAATATTAATCACATATGATATTTGCGCTTTAATATTAATCGACATGTTCTAATACAATACATTTTTCTTCAACATTGAATTTCCGGTGTATTCTTTTATTTTATATACTTGAATATGATATTTTCATATCACAAAATGATATCAGAAAGTCACTTGAAATGAGAAAATTGAAAATATTTCAACTTCTATTGCCAAAAGATTTTTATTTTTATTTTTTTATATTCTCTTTTAATTTATTTATTCTTTTAACAAACTCTCATGTGATATTATCATACTTCAAAATGATTGTTTAGAAAATCATTTGAACTTTGGCAATGACAAAAATCTAAAAAATATTTGTATGCGAGATTTTGCTCAGAGTACGAAGAGATATTGAATTTGAAATTTTTTAAATATAGATTTAAATATAGATGATTTAGCCATATTGTTTGCATCCATTTTTAGATTGCAATGATTATAGAAATATTGATGTTAATTGATGGTGTGAAACTATTTAATAAAATTTAAATTAAATTGTATATGAAAGTATTTAAAAATGATATTTTAATAAAATAATAATTAATATTTATATCATTTTATAAGTATTTGTTGTAATACAATACAATAGAGTAATGATTATTTGTAATTTTTTCATAAAAATATATTATTTTATATCCTTAAAATATTATATTCAAATTATTATTTATATTAAAATAAAAAAACTACAATCTAATGAAATAAATCCACAAAATAATTATATTCTCTCGATCTAACTCAATATATTCATTTTATCATTTTTATCAATCCCATTAAAAAAAAATATATGTATTATTATAGTAAAAATAATTTTATATAAATACCAAAATAAGAAAGATGTATATTGTCAATACAAATTAATATTTTTAAGAACACTATAAAATAATTAGCAAAAATAATTAATTTGATATATTGTTTTAATAGATCTAGACTTTGGATATGGTCTTTTTGTATTGAAATTTATTTATTTGTTACTGAATAATTTGCATTTTCTAAATAAAGATATATTATTGGTATTATATCGTAAAAGATCACGTTTAAAATGTTATTCAAATAAATTAAATCTAAAAACAAACTAAACAAATACTTCAAACTTTCATTTGTAATTTTTTTTTTCATATTTTTGTGAAATATTCAAAAAAAAATTTATTTTTTTGGTTGTTTATAATTTACTTTTTATTCAGTATACTTTCATATGATTTATAATATTAATAATTATTTAGAAAATCTCTTGCAATCATAAAAATTTGAAAAATTTTACTTAGAGAATCTCTTGCAATCATGAAAATTTAAAAAATTTGTATGCTTTGCTATTTAATTATAAAAAGTAGATTTTCATACTACGTGACAATTAAGTTTTGTTTAACTTTAAAAAAATTCAACAAAGTATTAATTCTAGCAATATATTATAGGTTTGTTAATGTATAAGATTATTTTATTCATTCGAATTATTTTGAAATAGTAAGGGTGCTTTTAATTTGTGTTTCAAATACGAATTGACATTATATTATTCAACTTGTATGATTTTTAATAAGAATATTTTTTCCACAAAATATCAGGTCAAAATATTATTTACATGGAACAAATTTCAACTCAAAACAAACAAACCCAAAATCCCATCATTTATTTTAAAATTATAATTTTTTGTGGTTATGTAACAATTATATTAGGTTGCCAAATTCTTGTAAATAAAGTGACAAGACATTTTTATTTGAGGTCTATAACTAAGTCTGATTCTGGACAAGTGTGAGTGTATTATACAGTAGATTATATCATTTTTAAAATTATATGAAAAAAATAAAAAAGTTATATTTTAATTAAAAATCATGCAAACTGAATAATGATAAATTAAGTTTAAAACTCAAACTAAACACACTCGTATATTGGATAGTTTTCAAGCAAGTTTGTATTTTTATCTTTATAAATTATTTCTTTAGTGATATTAAAGTTGAAGCCAGTATTTGAATTGAGGATTAGGAATTAAATTTTGGATTTGGAATTTTGAATTGAAATAAGATTTTTGAATGGAATGTTTTAAATAATTTTTTTATGTAATATTTTTAAATTTTGAAATGAATTAATTGAGTTTGTTTGGTTTGTATATGGAGTTACATTTTTAATTTAAATTTTATTATGTATATAATTTGAAGTATAAACTAAACACACTCATCATTTTTAAAGAAAGAAAAATATTATAAATAAAGTGAGATCAATCCAAAATCTACAAACAAACACCCTTAAATATGTTATCAATTCAAATTTTTATGATTTTAATTTGTATTTGTATTTTTATTTCATATTTGTATCAATCCAAATTTACAAACAAACACCCTTAAATATTTATATTTAATTTGTTTGATTTGTACATTTCGAAAATTCAATCGAACCTAGTACAAAATAAAATGTGTTCAAACCTTAAAAAAAATAGACTAAAAATTTTTGGGCATGGGCCGGGCTTGGGCTAGCCCAATTTTAAATATTAAATATTTATTTAAAAGTTTTTATAAATACTTAAAAAAATTGTCCAAAGAAAAAAAATATATATATTTTTTTAAAAAAACACAAAACTCAAATAATAAAATTTGAAAAAACGTGACACCTCTAGATTTTTGTATCTAACCTTTCAATTTTATTAATTTCCATTTTTATTTTTACAGAAACAAAACACCACATAGCTCATTTTTTATTAAATAAATAAATAAATAACAAACCATTAATTATTTATATATACATATTAAAAATGTAACAGATTACGAGCGGGATTGATTTGGGCCAAAAATGAAGGCTTGGTTTAATTTGGGCCAGACCCAATATGGAAGTAGTCTCTCCCAAATTAGCTTGAGGAGGAAGAAATGTACAACAAACCCACCACAGTGTGTATGTTTCTTCTTCTTCTGCAGAGCGAGAGAGAGAGAAACCAGCTGCTGAATTCGTTGATTCACTGATACGAAACCTTATTGCACAATGTTCAGGAACCAGTACGACACCGATGTCACGACATGGTCGCCGGCGGGCCGGCTTTTCCAAGTGGAGTACGCCATGGAGGCCGTGAAGCAGGGCTCGGCGGCGATAGGGCTGAGATCGAAGACTCATGTCGTGCTTGCGTGCGTCAACAAGGCCAGCTCCGAGCTCTCGTCGCACCAGAAGAAGATCTTCAAGGTAGATGACCATATAGGCGTCGCCATAGCCGGACTCACCGCCGACGGCCGGGTCCTCTCCAGATACATGCGCAATGAGTGCATTAATTATTCGTATACCTACGAGTCGCCGCTCCCCGTTGGCCGTCTTGTTGTTCAGCTGGCCGACAAGGCTCAGGTTCGATTTGATTTGATTTGATTTGGTGTTTTTGGTTAAACCCTAACTGCTCGATATTAATTCTGCGTTCTGTTTCCGCGAATCGTTGTTTGATGCATTTTGTTCTTGAGAATTAGGTCTAAAATTGTTTGATATTAATTTGGAATATACATAGAAATCATCTTATTGATGCTCATCACTAGTTTTAATTGCTTCTGTGAAACACGAGGATTTTGCAAATGAATCTAAGACTTAAACTTGATTCAATTTAGTTAATGAACGTCACAATGTCAGCCAACGTTGATAGAAGATTTCCATAGAAATGTGTATATTGCAATTTATCAGGATGGAAATTGTATATGTGAAATTGCTTGGATAATTGGGACGCACATTTTATGCAATTAATGCATATTCATCCAGGAAAGTTTGCACTTTGGTTTTGAGTAAGTTCAAATTAATCTGTACAGAACTGTGAATTGGATTTCTTTGTTGATGTGGAAATGTTTTTGTTGCCATAGAAATGAAACTATAAACTTCACAAAAAGAATTTTATATGATGAGAGGTTACTTTCGCAGGGAATCTAATCATAGCTATTGATTACATGTTAGCAATTATACTTTTTGTGCATTTGGATGCATCTGAATTCATTGAAATTCTGCCTCCCACTGTTGATTGTATTTCATGAAGTTGACAATTAACAAACTGATGGTAATCTAGATAGCCCGAGACTCAGTAAGTCCCTCCTTGGAGAAATTATCAAATTTGATTTTTGTAAAAAAAATTTAACCATCTTGGATATGATTGTTTTGTCAAACTTGGAGATCAAAGATGCATATTAACAAGTGGTAGTAGATTCATGTTCCTAGCATCTTTTATAACTTTACCATTAGCATGGTTCAATGGAAATTGCGCCCCCCCCAACCCCCCTTAATGAATTGCTGCAACATGTGTTAGATTGATATGAATTGGAATACTAGTGATATTTTATATTTTCATAGCGAAAACCATTTTTGATACTTTATAGCAAACATTGCACTTTTGTCTAACTACATGTATGCACTCATGATTTTCCAATTCTATTTGGAAAATGCCCTTTAGTCAAGTTATATAACACCTGGATCGATGGGATTTCAAGTTTCATGTGAGTATATCAATTGAAGCATGTGTTTGATTAGAACACAGGGTCTCTCGTATAGTATTTATCCATTCATTGGTTGCCAAGGCTTGTATTATTCCTTAATATAACCCATCAATCAGGTCTGCACTCAGCGGTCATGGAAACGGCCATATGGTGTTGGCCTGCTGGTTGGTGGTCTGGACGAATCCGGGGCCCATTTGTATTACAACTGTCCGAGCGGCAATTACTTTGAATATCAAGCATTTGCAATTGGATCTCGATCCCAGGCAGCAAAGACATACTTGGAGCGAAAGTTTGAGCACTTTGTGGACTCATCCCGTGAAAATCTAATCAAGGATGCACTTTTTGCATTGAGAGAGACCTTACAAGGGGAAAAACTCACGAGCACAAATTGCACAATTGCAGTGCTGGGAGTCGGGGAGGCATTCCACATGTTGAATCAAGAAACTGTGCAGGGACTGATCAATGAATTCGAGATTGTTGGTGAAGACCCCCCAGCTAATGTGACTGTTGAACCTGAACAAGGCAGTGGGGCTGAACCTGATACAGCTCCTGCTGACCAAGATGTCGCCCCGATGGATATCTGATGATTCAGTCCTATGCATGTATGAGGTAAGAATTATGTCTTTTATTGTCGGAAAAAGTGAATCCGTTTTATTTCATTGAGGAACTATTTCACTGCCCTTGAATGCAAACCATTTCATGTCTCTCCATCGGTACCCTGTTTCATTCATTCCGCTTGATGACATGTGCCTTTGCTTTACATTGTTACTGTTAGAAAATATGACACTTGTTATAACTTATCTCGACATTACTGCAATATTTGTTTGTTTGCTAGTATTGATTTCGTATTTAAAGTATGGCATCCATAATTGTCTGCTATAGGGTATGGTATTGGCTTAGCACCATTTTTGCTACACAACAGTTTCTTGATTTTCTTCTGTGCCTTAATGATATGAGTATATTTGCGTGTTAAAATTGATGGGAACATATGCTGATTGAACTAGGCTCGTGTTGTATTTATATTATATTAGAAAATGATTATATTATAACATGTGTTGTGAAGTAGGTGCTGAATTTTGAATTTATAGTTTTTTTTCCATTAGTTGGGTATTCATTTGTCCCAAGCTCAACAAGATGATCTGTGAAAGATGATCATCCATAACATTGATCAAACAGTTAAGATTGAATAGAAACATATATATATATATATATCAGTTTGCAGCAAGCATTGTCTTTGCCTTTGACAGCTCAAGCAGAAGTCTCTTTATCTTCTACGCGACAAAACTGTCGGGCACTGCCGGGATCGGGATACCTTTGGTCTGCATTTGCTTGTACATCCAGTGCCAGTTCTCGGGAGTTACCTCGCCACCGAGCGACCGGATGACAGACCCCCCGCTGCATGACCCAATCTTGCAACACTCCTCCAGCGGCAGCCCCTTAACCAGCCCGTACAGAAACCCGCTGGCGAAGAGATCCCCAGCACCTGTGGCGTCCACTGCCTTCGACTCTCCAATTGCAGGAACTCGGACAACCTACGAGTTTTTACACATGCATTTAGCAAATAAACCGTACGTAGTTACACACTATTTTTACTTTTCTCCAACCGAACTTAATACTCTGCAAACTAAGCCCGATAAAGCAAATCACACTAGGCGAACCATGTATGTCAGATGGACTTGGAGGCGTCGGGTTTGAACCCATGACCTCACGGTCACAAATTCACTTACTACATCACCAGGTTATCCCGTTACGGTATTACTTTTTTCTTTACTTATGAGTGCACTCGTGTTGTGCTTTAGATCGTAAGTAGAAGATAAAATTATGTGCACCTCTTTTCCGTGCTTTGCGATGCATCCCTTCGCCCCTAACGTCACCACGGCCCATTTGCAGTATTTCGACAGAAACTCAATAGCTGACAACTCTGGATCTGCACCGGCTTCTTCGCCCCTGCAATTATATAATGTTGCGACATTGATTTCGTAGAAATTCTAGGGTAGAAAGGAAAATGATCGACTACGCGCGCACCTGAGCAACTCGGCAGCTTCATCCTCGTTGGCGAAGCAAAGGTCTACGCTACCCGACTCGAGTAACTGTAATAATGGCAACTTGTACTTCCTAACCATCTGCACGACGAATCAAAGCCAACAACTTACAGTTAAACATATGATTAAGATGAATAAATTTAACGTCTTTTAGGTAATATTACCTCAAAACTCGCAAGATCTAGCGACACCGAGAGGCCCTCTTGCTTGGCGATCCTAATGGCTGCTTGAATGACATCGATGTTGAATATAGCGTACCTCAAGACAAGCCACTGAACCATAGAGACGGGATTAGTTCCATTGCCCGGCGCAATAAAACCTTAGCACGACACAATTCGTGCATATTAAGTATTTCTAGTACATATCGAGGTTTCACCTTGGAGCCTTTGAAGTCTTCGGGAGTTAGATCGTTCGCCTGGTCGAGAATAAAATTATAAAATTACGCAATGTGCGGTCGAGAAACAAAAGAAGATGAAAACAAATAAGGTGAATGTACCTGAACTTTGACGGCGTTGGAGAGACACGGCCTCATCGTGCGATTGCCCAATTCGTCGACCATACAAACACACTGCATCGAACATCGAACGTTTCAGAAGTATATATTTTTCCATCAATCAATTTTCCGGTGGAAATTGTACGACGAGGAAGAGGGGTACCTGTCCAGTAGGGCCGCGCTTGAGCCTCAATCTCGAGAGGTCGACATTGTGGAAGCTCATATTGTCGATGAACAAGGCCCCCTGATCGTCGTCCCCACACGCCCCGATTATGCCGCAAGAAATTCCGTAGCCGGCAGCGAGGCCTCGTACAGTGTTGGCAACGCTTCCCCCGGCGATTGTCTTCATCGGAGGAGCTGATGCGTGGGCATTGATCTCGTTCAAAATGATCTTCAACTCTTCGGATGAAACCTATAAAGAAGAAAGAAAGAAAAGCCAAAGCTTTCATCACATTATGTAGGACAAAAAGGGATCAGATTTACATGCTAAGTTGCTCGCTGTAATTAGTCCGTATATAAAAATAAATAGTAGGGAACTGTTACGGTGCTGAATTAAAAAAATCATCACCCATAATATATACAAACAACATATATTCTTATTATATACAACACGTGTTAGATATATAATAAATACATGTATTTTTTGTTCATAATTACTAGTGTGCTGTATAACAATATATGATATTATATGGTGTTCTGAAATTTTATGCCGTATAAAACTATAACGTGTGTTATTAGTTAATACTGTCGCCTAAATCGTAAGATATTATAGGTTAAACATAGTACAAATACAATACAAGATCTATGTTGTGATGACAAACTATATTTTATGGCTTATTTGATATATATATATATATCAAATCGACATCAGAAGAATCTGTGATGAACTAGAATGCCAAATTAAAATTCACAAAAAAAAAGAGATTGAAACTTTATAACAAGTGAAATTACATACAGAAACTATCCTGATCCCTCCTCAACTTATAAACTAACAAAATTCCATAAGAACAGTGATGAAGAACTGCGAATTAAACTAAACTACATTGAATTGAATTAAGAGGGGATTTGGAATGGAATTCAATTATATCTATTAGTATCTTACAGGGAAGGAGCCGCCGGGCTCGCCGGGAATTCGGGAGCAATCAACTCTGGCGACGTGGTCGACGAGAGCCGACGGCTGGAGGCCGACTATCACCGGAGCAGTCGCAGGTAGAGTGGCGTCGCCGTCATCGTTTTCGTCGCAGTTTTTGTGAAGAATCTGGAAACCCATTGTTCGATTGGGTTCCGGCGGATCCTTCTCTCTTTTCTGATTCTAAACTAATACTGCTGCGGTGCCCCTGCTTTGCGCTGCCCTCTGTTACTGTTTATTTGTAGGCATAGGGAAGCCATGGCGGGCGGGCGACCCGACCCGACATCATCATCGCGCCTCTCTCTCTACTCTACCCAATTAAGGGCTTCTTTACTTATTTTACAAAGCCCATTATAAATATACAACAAATAATAATAGTAATAATATTAATAAAGTATTTTAGAAGTTTTGTTTTTTATTATATGTATTTTTTAAAATTTCAATACATTATTATGTTAAAAATCAGTACAAGCTAAATATATTGTGAACATCAACTAAACTATAATGTATCTTTAGAAAGAAAATATTATCTTCATTTATTTGCATCTATGTATATATTATTGATTTCCATATGATGCATGTTTATTTAGTAAGTCATATTTATTGCACAGTATTTATATATTTTCTTTCTAAAATTCATTATTTATCACGGTCACCAGTTACTTCTATTTTATTTAATATATATTTTGTTCTTTTGTGATTTCAAATTGTGCCGTTTTTAATAAAATATAATAGTATTATTATTTTTTTTTACAAAATATAACATCAAAATATTATTTAAACTAAAATTTAAATTAACACTCTATTTCAAATCAATTTCAACAGCGACCAAACAAAGTCAATTGTGATAATAAGTTTTTAATTACTGTTATCAATAATTTATTTTTCAGCTACACAAGGCTAAGGTCTTATATTTCCACTATTGATAAAATTTTATTTATATGAATTTATTCAATTTTGTTAGGGTGCTAGCTTCAAGCTAATATAAAAAATAAATTATATTTCCACTAATTAATAAAATATATTATTTTTTAATTTACTATATATATATATAAAAAAAAAAAAAAAAAAACCAAATGATGTAGTTGGGACAAATAGAATATTATTAGTTTTGTCCCACATGATTTGTATACTATTTCTACTTCGATCCGTCCCATATAATTTGTCCACAATTTCTATTTCGTTCCATCCAACATAAATTTTTTAAAATATAATTATACACTTTAATTACATTTTAAAATTTAAAATTTAAAATTTTTTTATTTTAATTAAACTATTTAGTCATTTTAATCATAATCTATAATTATTTTTACTAATATATTTCTTAATTACATATTAATTATACAATACCTAAAGTATAGTATCCAAACTAAGATCAACAAATTAGCTTTGAGTGATGAAAGTAATACTCCTTCCGTCCAAGCTAAAAGTATAAGCGCGAAGATTAAGGAATAATAGTATTTTAATTATAGTGAATAGATAAAAATAGTAAAATGACATTTTTGCCCTTATTTTTTTGGTATAAAAGTAATGACGTGATGTAAAATAGGGGTATTTGTGAAAAAAATTGAGTATTTAATGAAAGAGTTACTTTGTAATTGGACGTCCCAAAATAGAAATATGTATACTTTGTATTTATCTTTTGCTTATTTATACTTCGGGTGTGTTTGTTTGGGGGATTGGATTTTAAATTCACTATTCATCCCATTTTTTCCCCAAAAATATCAAATCAAACACTTCTTTTTTATATTATACTAAAAATTAATTTTACATTCAAAACATTGCAACAATTCCTATTTATACCACATCATACAACTATTCAAATTCAAAATTTTTACTATTCAAATCCCAATCAAATGACAAACACACCCTTCGTGTATTGTATTTCAATCATTTATATGCGGTAATCACAGCCCTCTACTATAATGGTCAAAAGATAAAAAGAAACCCTAAATGATAAGGATAATACTATAAAGATTTCTTATATTAAAATCGATAATTTTCTATTAATTAAATATTGCTACAAAATTGAGAAGATAGGTGATAATATAATGAATCAGATAAAGTGTTCTCTTTCTGTATTGAGTGTTATGATGTAATAATATTGATGTCAATTTTATACTTTTTTTAAAAATATCTATATATATATATATATATATCTAGATTGCTATTTAAAACCTAAAATACAAACCAAGGAAGACTACACTCCAAGAAAACACCTTTAAATGTGGTTTTTGTGCAAAAAAATTGTGATATTTTTATTGAGAAGGATGATATTGTTTTAAAACGCCAGGCCCTGTACAAAGTGAATATTGTTTTGCATATCACTGTAAATTTCATATGAAATTAACACTAAACTAATAAATAAATTTGGACTGGCAACGTGTAATCCAGTCAGCTTCTGAGAATCCATTTCATTAATAATAGAAGTAATAAAATATTATTCCCTAGAAGAAGACACTGTTCAAAGATTTTTATTCTGTGAAAAAAGTGTGTACTCAAAATCACAAGATTGTGCTTCAGAAATTTGGCCCCACAAATAAATCCCCACTCTCATCAATTATGGCTCAACCACTCCAAACAAAAATGTTATTTTAATATACTAGGAGTATTTGATTGAAAATCCTATAACTATAATTTATGTTATAATTAACTAAACACTAATCATATTGTAGTATTATTTCTTTAATTCAAAACAAAAAGCCCCAATTCCAAAACTTATCGAGTCCTAAACCAAAAACCCATTTCCAATATATATTCATAAATGTATCACAATCAAATATAGCATCTATTTCAATTGCCAAGACAAAAAAACACAATCAAGTAAACACAATTTTCAGGCAGAAATATACAAACAGAATCTAACACCTAATTCATCACATCACAAAACACCTTCAAATTCTTGGCATTTCCTAAAAACTAATTACATTAGATAATAAACACTTATTTTCAATCAAAAACCTACTTTTAATTTAAAAACTAAATCCAACACTTGTATATTATTTCCAAAAAACAAAAAAGAAAGAAAGAAAGCCAAAACTTTAAAAATCCAAATGACAAGCCAATACAAAGATTCGAGTATCTTTTATGACAAGGTCGAAAAACACTTTAGCTGTCAACTAGTCACTGGGCAGCCGCAGTAGCGGCGAGACCCAGACAAAAGTTCATATAAAAAAAAAAAAAAATTGATTTTTAAGAAAAAAAAAACAGATAGGGTCACCTAGTGGGATGATTGGGAGCCTCTTATGATGATCATTCTACCTTTATCTATTTATTTATGCAGGGAAAACAACTAAAAATAAATTCACGAATAGATAAAATAAATGCAGGTGAGCTGAAATCACGGATCAGTGAACAAATGTTGGCCATTCAATTCAATTCAATTCCCAAACAAACAGAAACACACAGGCAATCAATCATATTCATCCCACTATGCTTTTCAAGATTCCTGACCACCAATAATGCAGGGGGAGTGACTTACTGACTGACTGATTCATTCTATTTATGTATATAAAACACCCAGCAGATAATGCCTATGATGCTGCTCTAACATGTTGTTATTATCAATCTACAATTTTAAGGAAATCATTCTGCATTGCACATGGGGGGGGGGGGGGGGGGGGGGGTTACGAGTTAAAGAACTTCATACCTGCTTAAATGGTGTCTTAGCCTTTGGGGAAAGAAGCCCGTCTTTGTGTCGGGAACATGTCGAGAGCTTGCTAACAAGTGCAGCATGAAAAACAGAAATGAATTAGTCACGGCATACTATTGATCGAAAATCTTTAGAGGATCGGATTGGATTGGATCTGTGCGCTTACCTTACTGCATTCTCTCCTTTCCATTGTTAGCTGTGGCCGCGAAGCTCAACTGCAAGTCTTGCAAATGACAATGAAACATAGAACTCAGATTATGAATAAATTCATTATGGGATTGATAATCAGATCTGTGAAAGTTAATGTAAAGGGGTATATTCAGATAAAAGGAAAGCATAGTTGCTCGATTGATTCGCTTTGTCGAATGATCACTTGGGGGTGGCAAATCCTCATAACCTTAAACCTTATTTGTCTGGAGAAATGAAGAACAGTTTATTACAGTCTCTGCCTGGAGCAGATGATGGGTCCTAGGCATGAAAATTGGGGAAGATCTGAATATGGATAGGCAGGCAAAAAACTGCTTGTGAGAGATCTCATTGAACAACCTTTTGGGCTTTCTCGGGTAGTCTCTCGAACTATGCCAATCATTGACTCGTACTCCTCATCGCGGTTAGTGAACTTCTTGGGGGAGCATCTTTTCCAGCTCAATCTCCTCAAGAACTTGGCCTGGTTACCTGCCCACAGAGAGGCCTTTATATTAGTGACAAAAATATAATCAAAACAAAGAGGCCTGCAATTTATAACAGGTATAACTTCTTAGCCTACAAAAATAAAAAAGTGAAATAAGCCCAATAGAAGATAAACAAGAGTGGGAAGGTTGGAAGGAGTGAGAACATAAAACCACAAAAAAACATTTCAAGCCCCACATTGATACATGGATTTGGATTTAAAGAAAGAAAAAAAATGATGGGGAATTAGAAATGACTTGAAAATAGATTGCATGCCAAATATTTCAGTAAATCTGTTGCAAATTAAATCCATCCATACAATTGCAAAGAATATTGCTATCAATTTGAAGTTCCTCTACTCAAATGCTTGAATCCAAATTGGCCCTGTTTGAATAGAATGTCATACCTCCCCATAAGGGACTCGAGTATTCTGTCTCACAAGGGAAACCGAAGCAGCCATGGCATGTTTCTCCACAACCACGCCCATCAAGAAGGGTAGCTCCCATTCCAAAGAAAGCCTCATCCTCAATCGTGCAGCCATGTAGTACTGCACTGTGGCCTGTGTTTTCACAGTTCAAGTTAGAATCAATATACATTCATAAGTTATGACAAATGTTCAACTTTTGCAATGGAACTACACATGAAAGGTAGATAAACACCATGCCAAAGATTGTAAAGAAAATAAAAACGTGAAAAGAAATACAAAGCAATATGAGCACTCACCGATGGTGACATTGTTTCCAATAATAGTTGGCAATCTATATCATGTATAACTTCTTAGCCTACAAGAATACATCAAAGTGGAATTTCCAATAATAGTTGGCGACTTATATCATGTATAACTTCTTAGCCTACAAGAATACATCAAAGTGAAATAATTCCAGTAGAAGATAAACAAGTGTGGAAAGGTTGGAAGGGGTGAGAAGATGAAACCACAAAAACGTTTCAAGCCCCACATTGATAGGAGGATTTGAATTTAAAGAAAGAAAAAATGGCGGGGAATTAGAAATGACTTGAAAATAGATTGAATGTAAAAAATAATAGTATATCGATATGATGCTTTGTCGTAAAAATAACATATTTTTATTAAAAACCATACGAATTGAAGAGTGATGGTTTTGGTTTGAAACCAAAATCAAACACACCCTGTAATTATGTATGAATAAACAAAGAATAAAATCAGAATGGTAATGATTTTGATTTGAGTTCAAAAAATTTTATTTGAAATTTAATTTAAATAATATTTTGATGTGATATTTTATGAGATAAAATTGAATATTTTTAGTAAAAATTGCATGGGCTGAATATTATAAATTTGGGTTTGAAATAAAAAACAAACCCTCTGAGAATCAAAGGTTCCCTTTACTAAACACTTTTGAAAATTTTAGTAATATTCATCTTATCTAAAACTTCAATTTTCTCACTAAATATCACATTCATTACTATTTTTTACTATTCATAAAAATTTTCATACCCAATAATCAAGTTGTTGCGGTACATTGGCCAGTGACTGCAAGGTCACTAGGTCAAACACTACCCACACTTTTCCAATCTAGTTTGTCCCCTAGGGCAGGCCATCATAAAAATGAAAACACACTAAAAAATTAAAAATAAACAAAAGTACTACTTCCTCCGTCCCGGATATTTTGTACACGCACGGGAATTTAGGAGGGGTATAATTAGTAAATAATTAAAATTAAAAATATTATAAATTAAATTTTTAAAAATAAAATTAAAGTGTATAATTATTTTTTCAAAAAATGAAAGTGACAAAATAAGTGGGACAGACGGAACGGAAATGGAAAGATAGACATGAGAAATGGAACGGAGGAAGTACTATTTATACTATCATCCAAAAATGGAAACAAAAATAGCTCTGTTCTCTTTGAACTTACAAATGCAAATCAAAAACACCCGAAGAGAATTAGATATATGAAACAAAAGATTTGGTTACCCAATTCGAAGTTTTTTCGGTTTTTTCTCAACCCTCTGTTGCTACTACAAACAAAATGATTTAATTTGAGCATACTAAGCTCTCCAAAGAGTTTGCATTTCACCGCAATCCAACTCAATACCCACATGTATGTTTGGTAGATTGTCACAAACAGGACAAGCAAACACAAACCTAAGAAAATGGACACACGGCCGAATTGAGAAACAAGCAACACTGGAAAGTGAAGAGAGTACAATCAACATTATACATACGAATTGCCACCACCCACGAACAACAAGATCTTCATTCAAATGTAAACAACAAATCTATTCGCTATCAAGTCTTGCAACCTTTCCTTTATTCAAAAGACATTTGCTCCACCAATTCCTTTATATACCATCAAAATTCTTATCCATTTTAACTTAAATTTCGTCTACAAATCCTTTTCCCTAATTCAGAACTAAACCACACACCAATGCTTGAAAAAAATTGCTTACTATTGTTCTCTTCTAGCCGAATCTGAGCTCATCATCTTTTGAATGCCTCCAGAAACCTTTCAAGGGCAAACATGAATCCATCAGTTAATTGAAGAACGGAAAAATTTCAACAATATATGTATATATATATATATGTTTGTGTGTGTATAATGTATTTCATCTTAAAAGCATAGAATCTGCAAACTTAAACTACATTCGTTCACTCCATATTTTTGCTTCCTAAAGATTAAGAGCTCATAAAATTATCTGTACTCAGAGCAGAGCAATCGATTAAACAACACACAATCAAGATCAGATAAATCAGTTCATTGTGGCACATTTTCCCCATATTTTCTTCACAAAAATTCAACAATTACAGTTCGAAACCCTAAATTAATTGAAGAGCAGCAAGAGTAATTCATTTCTTTTTGCCCTTTCCAGATCTTCTCTTAGGGGGAATCACAATCTCCCCCTTGAGCACCGGAATCTCCATAATCTCGTCAAGGCCTGCGAATCTCTTCCGGAACTTCTCCACCTGATCGGCGTCGATGAGGAGCTGCGAGCGGCTGCCGAGGTAGAACGGGTGGTTGCCCGACCACACGTCCACCACATACTCTTGCTTGGTTCCGCCGGTCGTCATCACCAGCTCACCGTTGCAGTAAACTTTGGCGTCTTCGTAGAACTCTGGGTGTATGTCCTTCTTCCGGCAGCTCCACCGCGCCGGACTGTTGCCGGCCGCTCCCTTCACCTGTGAAATCAAAGTGAAACAGAATTACAATGCGGCGTCTATCGCTCAAAACACGAGCTCCTTAAATAATTGTAGCTTTCTAACCTTGGCTTTGAGGGACGGCGGCGCGTGGACACTACTGTGGAGGAATGAAGTGGATAGAGAGAGAGCCATGGCGCTGCTTGTTTGGGGAGGATGAGGAATTGGGGCTTAATTGATTTGTGGTTGAGCAGTAGATTGGCGCAATCGGTTTCGAAATGGCGGTTGGAACCGCCGGTTTGACGGTTTGGAACCGGAAAACCGGCTGTTCCGGTTCAAATAGGAACCGTAAACTTACTGTTCGAACCGTTTTAGATTCCAACCCAGTTAGATTAGGGTGTGTTTCTGCTGCCCAAATTTAGGCAGAAAACTGCCTAAACTTGGGCTGTTTGGTATCACGGCCTGACGGAGGCTGTCACCTTCTTTTTTTTTCTTTTTTTTTTTTAATTTAATAAAATATATACAATATATATATTATTTTATAGAGAATAAAAATTTTTATAATATAAATAAATAAAAATTTATAAATATATATGTAGATATAAAATAAATTTATAATTAAATTATATAAATTAATATACATTTATATTATTATATTTATTATCATTAAATAAATACACAAACTCTCCAAACTCAACTCAAACTTAAACTCAAAAGAAACACATAAATTCAAATTCACCTCAAAATTCAAATAAAAATTAAACTGAAATCCAAATATCTTTATATATACTACCTCCGCTCTAAGGTCTCATTTATTTTTTGCCTTATTTTTAAATATTAATTATTTAATCAAAACGCAGTACACTTTAACAAAAAAAAAAATTGCAAAAATATTTTCTCCTGTAATACTAATAGGATATTTGTAAAAAAAAATTTGTAAAAAAAAAATTATACAAATACAATATATTTTTAATATTAAATACAATACAATATATTTTTAAGGCAGACAATGGAATATAAATTTTTCTATAAATATTATAATAGTATTATAAGATATTAATACAAATATTTTTGTCATTTTTTATTAATTTATAATACGGACAAAAACTAAATGAAAAAGACTAACGGCAGTAGTATAATAATAATAATAATAATAATAATAATAATAAGGGCCTCAACTGCAAATCTTGGAAATGACAAGAAAACATAGAACTTAGATTATGAATAAATCCATTATGGGATTGTAAATCAGAGTTACTGTAAAGGGGTATATTCAAATACAAGGAAAGCATAGTTGCTGGATTGATCCTTATAATCTCAAACCTTATTTGTCTGGAGAAATGAAGAACAGTTTATTACAGTCTCTGCTTGGAGCAGATGATAGGTCCTAGGCATGAAAATTGGGGAAGATCCAAATAAAGATGGGCATGCAAAAAACTGCTTGTGAAAGAAAGATCTCATTGAACAGCCTTCTGGGCTTTCTCGGGGAGAATATTATCAGGAAGAACAAGTTCCGGTGGAGTCTCTCGAACTATGCCAATCATGGACTCGTACTCCTCATCGCGGTTAGTGAACTTCTTGCGGAGCATCTTTTCCAGCTCAATCTCGTCGAAGGACTTGGCGTTTTCAGCTGCATGCACCTTGGCAAGGTTGACGTACGTGGTGGCTGATTGGGCGATGAAGGCGATCTCTTCATCGGTGAGCCTCCTCAAGAACTTGGCCGGGTTACCTGCCCACACCTGAGATACATACACAGGTTTCCGATAAGATTAAGTATGGTCACAGCCCAAGGTATTCAGACAGAAAAAGAACAAATTCCGAATGGCCATTTTTTTGCATTTTGGTAAAAAAAACTTTCACAAAGACTTCAATCACAGCATCGATATTATGGTAGATTAAGGTCTAATCTACTTGTACATTTATAACTTTATTCAAATAAGTATGAACGCTAATATTCATTGCTCCACATGTATTGTATATATATCGATCATAAGATGATAGCCTTAACATTAATAACAATATATATATATGTGGCAAAACAAAGAGGCCTGCAATTTATATCATGTATAACTTCTTATAGGTTGGAAGGATGAGAACATAAAACCACAAAAAACATTTCAAGCACCATGCCAATAGGAGGAGTTTGGATTTAAAGAAAGAATGACGGGGAATTAGAAATGACTCAAGAATAGAATGTATGTCAAATTTTCAGTAAATATGTTGTAAATTAAACTCCTCCAAACAAGAGCAAATAATTATTGCTATGAATTTGAGGTTCCTCTACTCAAATGCTCGAATCCAAATTGGCCTGGTTGAATAGAAAGTCTTACCTCCCCATAAGGGACTCGAGTATTCTGTCTCACAAGGGAACCCGCAGCAACCATGGCGTGTTTCTCCACAACCACGCCATCAAGAAGGGTAGCTCCCATTCCGACAAAAGCCTCATCCTCAATCGTGCAGCCATGTAGTACTGCACTGTGGCCTGTGTTTTCACAGTTCAAGTTAAAATCAATACACATTCATGAGTTATGTCAAATGTTCAACTTTTGCAATGGAACTACATACGAAAGGTAGATAAACACCATACCAAAGATCGTAAAGGAAATAGTTAGTCAAAAGGAATACAAGGCAATATGAGCACTCACCGATGGTGACATTGTTTCCAATAATAGTTGGCAATTCTCTCCCACCGAGATTATGTTTTGCCACATGCACCAGGGAATTATCTTGTATATTAGTTCCAGAGCCAACACTAATGCTATTCACATCACCTGTGTCCAGGGAAAAAACAAAACAAATAAAAAGGAAGAAAAAAATTCAAAATTTATGGCAAGAACCAAATTCTACTTTTGTTTTCTCCTTTAAAGGGTTATTTTTCCAAAATATTCATATTAACTTAAGTACCCAGTAAATGGAATCATCCAGGTCATTATTCCTTGATAAAATTAGAAACCAATTTTAAAAAGCTTATTCAAACTAAATCGTAAAAACTGCAAAGGCTTGTTTTCCTAAGAAACAACTAGATGAAAATTTATAGAGACAATGTAGAGAATGTATCGTCCCAGTCATGTAAGTTGCTGTGGAGATGGTTGTCAATGAAAAAGGGTATGACAAGGCGGAAGATCTTCTTTGACAACACTGAGCATGACTGCACTACATTGAACTTCAACATATTTGTAACACAAATAAAATACAGTTACACAGCACATAAAATTAAAACAAATAAAATATTATAGGGTGTGTTTGTTTGTGAGATAATCTGAAGGGGTATTTTTTTATTCGAGGTATAGGAAATTGTGTAGGAAATATAAATATAATGAATGTATGTGATACATAATGTTTTGGGGAAAACGTGTGTGTTTTTTTGTTGAAAGAACACACCCTATATAGTGAAGAGAAATTAAAATATACCTCACCTTATACTTAGCAAGAAATTACAAAATAACAAAGAGGTGAACTTGCTGCAAAAAAAAAAAAAAAAGGATAAGGTGGGGCCATGCCTTGTCCCGTGCACTTGAGTAAAAGGTACTTAGGATGCACACCAAAGGTGTGATTAGTGACGACAAAACCCAAGTGCCATACTACATGATCTGCTTTAGATTCATTTCTTACGACCCTACATTAGTATCGGTGATTCCATGGATACAGAGCAGTAACAGTTCACAATCAATATGAACTCTTGCATTGGTTTTGTAGGCAGCATTAAGAACAAGTGTTGCTTAATGGAAAATAGAGACATGTTAGAACTCAATGAAACACAGGCTCTATATTCCTTAATTTCACTCGCTCACATATCAAACAAATAGAAGACAAGTTGTTATGAGAAGATTGCGTTTAATTTGCAACATCTACTTGTAAATAACATTCATCCATCAAACCTTTTAATCGGGCACATACCTCGCAGGACAGACCCATACCAGATTGATGATCCTCGTCCCACCTGAACATCCCCAATGACAGATGCACTTGGGGCAACAAATGCATCCTTATCAACTACAGGAGCTTTATCAAAGAGGTTCATCAAGGTACGATGCCTAGAAACTGACATGAAATAATACAAAGTGAATGAAAAGGCCAGTTACAAATGACAAAATAAAAAAATAAAGGAACGAATATCGAAGGCATTTGAAAGAAAAAAAAAGAACCTTTTTATTCTTTAATCTCAATGAATTATTAATCATAAAAGAAACAGGGGTAGGGGGGATATAACTTGATGTTATATTGTCTCCTATATTCTTTGTTAGACACTGCTATAACATTAATTAAACAACTTTACAAACTCATAAAATTTATGTTTATCTTCATTAGAAATTATTGCTTTATTATTCAAGTTGTGGCTTATGGGCATTGTAATAATATCAATTTCATTTTTTAATTCGTTTAGTTTTTATTTATAACTTTCATTACAAGCTTGTTCACAACTTATTAACATTATTCAGCCAAACAGACAAACTTGTTTACTAATAAGAAACACAAACATATGTTTAGAATTTGTATGAAACAAATACGAACAAGCATTATGTTAGCAAACAAGCTTGTATCTATGGTATATTCATTCAACGACACCACAACCCCCCTTAACCATGTCAGTGTCTTAAGAAGCTAAGGCAAGTATGCCTTAATCAAAATTAGAATTAGGTCTGTTCAGTTTGCTACACTCATTAAAATCGAAGTTATAAATTATAACATAGCGTGCACAACAAAGTAAGCAAGCCCTTGAAGTACTATGAGAAATACATAAGATTAATGCACACACAGGAGTACTATTACGGCTACATTTGGATTGATATATAACTACTAAATAACATATTCTTATGCCTGTTTCGATCAATTCATTTTACAATGTACTTCGAACCCTCCATCCTCATCTTAAAGTCTACTTAATAAAAAAAAGTCTACTTCTTGGGATGGGAATGAGTTTGAATTCAGTTCTAATTTGAGTTGCTTCGAATCCTTTATCATAATCTCCCGTTCATAGTCAAATGTTCACTGAACCCTAAACTTCCTTTCTCCTGCATACTAACCACTGTGTTCTCCAGCCTATGAACCTTCATTCCTCTTAAATCCTTAGAACAACACTCAATACTGTCATAATGATTTCAATTTCCAAGATTTTCAAGCAATTGTACTGAAATTAATCCGATAAACCCTAAATCGAATGTACCTATACATCGAACTGATTAATCATCCCACCGAACACCCACTAACCCCCTCCACTCCACTGACCTAACTCTAAATCAAAACACAAAATGACAAGTCGATCAGATTTTTCTTCTCTTCTTCGAAGTAGCCTGAATTCGAATAAATGAAACTAAAACAAACGAAATTAGCATACGACTCACTTTGCTCCGGGCAATAGTAACTTCCTTGGAGGAGGACACCCAGTCGATCCATGGCTTGACCCGTTCCTCTAATCCAGTTCCCCAAGGAGTAAATAGCTCGCCCTAAGGTGCCCATTTCACCGAATCAACCTCGTTTCTCGACTACAACCGTATCAGCAAGATCTTAAACCCTAATTCGCAAGGCTGAGAGGGACCTCCGAGTTCGATCGGCGAAGAACTACGGGAGCTCGGCAGCTACCTCTGATTGGGGGCGCAGCGATTGAGGGCAGGGCAATGAACTGTTGACACTACCAGGGGCATTTTCGGGTTTTCGGACACTGCACTTGTCTGCCGCTTTCACTTGAAAATATTTGAGTGTGTTTATTTTTATTTTGGTATCAATAGAAATATACGGTGTTTGCTTGGTATTTGAATTTTGAGTTGGAATTTGAAATGTAAAAATTTTAAATTTGAATAAGTGTATGTGATATAAATAGGTGTTGATGTGATATTTCGAATGGAAAATTAATTTTTAGTATAATATAAAAAATAAGTGTTTGATTTGATGTTTTTTTGGAGAAAAAATGAGATAAATAGTGTAAATAATCCAATCCTCCAAACTAAGATTTTGATTTTGATTTTGATTTTGGATTTTGATTTTAAATAGTAAAATTTTAAATTGTAATAGTTGTTTGATGTGATATAAATATTTGTTGATATAATATTTTAAATGTAAAAATAAATTTTAATATAATATTTTCTCCTCTCAGACAAAGTATCCATTTTTCTATTTTAGTCTCAAGTATTCATTTTTGTTTAGTAACTGTACTGTATGTCTAATTACAAATACCCTTGCAACTTACAATATATTACACAAATATTATTATTTTTATATCAATTTTTAAAACTACATACAAAAAATAAATGAATATTTAGTTATGAAACGAAAATAGTATAATAAATAAAAATATAAGTATTTAATTTGATGTACTGAATTAAAAAAAAAAATTAGTAAAACAAAGTTAAAAAACTTAGAAGAAAACACACCCATATAAAGCTGTGTTATTCAACCCTTTCATAAAAAACCACATTTTTTAAAAAAAAGATTAATATTTTATTATATATATTTATTATTAATATTTACACTATATTTTATATAAAAGTATATATATATTATATATATTCAAACAATTTCATTGACAAACACTTACTAGTAAAGTATTATTTAATTTAATTTAAATTTTAGATCAAAACTAAACAAATTCTTAATATTTGTTCTTTTTAAAAAAATTACTATGCAATATTTTTTATAAAAACATATTTTTTTACATCCTAGTCAAATGTATTTATTTTATTGGTCTATCCAAGCTAAAGGTGTTCATTTTTTTTAAAAAAAAAAAAATACCTCTCAAGTTATATACCAAAATATCTATTATTATAATAAAATAATTATATATTAATTCTAAAATATTTTTAAATTTTATATAATTTACAAATATATTATTATACATATATATATATACACATATCAAGTACAAAGGATGAAAATATCAAAAGTATCTTATAAATTTTTACTAACTAATAAAATATTATTTTCTTCAACCAAATTTATCCTCAATTTTTTAAAAAAATTCATAAATTAAATTTACTTTATTATTAATTATTATAAAATTAATCAATTTATTTCTTCTTTTATCTTTACTGTTTTAAATTTCAATGTATACAACAGACCAATCGAAGTATGACACGTGGAAGAGAACGGTCCTATAAATATCAGTCGCGCGCTTGAACATTTTAACAGTGTATTTTCAAATATCTGAAAAGCTTCGGGAAGAATCTGCAGAGCAGACATGGAGGAGAAGAGCAGGATTCTGATCATCGGAGGAACTGGCTACATCGGGAAGCTCATCGTGGAAGCGAGTTTGAGGTCTGGTCATCCGACATTTGCGGTGATAAGAAAGAGCACTGTTTCTGATCTTGTAAAAGCGAAAATAGTCGAAGGATTTAAGAGCTCTGGAGTCACCATTCTTAATGTATGTGTATTCATCTTTTGCACCGTTCGATTCATCTCTCTCTGCGCGAATAACTGGTTGATGTCTTCCATTTTTTGGTGTGTGCTTTCTGCTTGGGAAAACTGCAGGGCGATTTGAATGATCACCAGAGTTTGGTGACCGCGATTAAGCAGGTGGATGTGGTTATATCGGCTGTAGGTTCGTTGCAGCTGGCTGATCAAGTTAAGATCATCTCTGCAATTAAGGAGGCTGGAAATGTTAAGGTTCATCCGCTTCTGATTTTTCCATCGTTAATCGTTAAGCTTCAATTCTTCCGGTTAATGTCCTGTTTCTGAATTTGGGGATTAGGTCTAGGAAATTCCGATTCAACGATAACCGCCTGTGAAATTGGGGATATTTGATTAAATTCCACCAGCGGTGATCTAATGTATTTCAAAACAGAGAATCAATCATCTTCTATCACCAATTCACCATTATCTGCAGAGATTCTTACCTTCTGAATTCGGCAACGACGTGGATCGCGCGCGCGGCGTTGGACCTGCGAAGACTCTACTCGAAATCAAAGCTCAAATCCGGCGTGCTACCGAAGCAGAAGCAATTCCTTACACATATGTCTCATCCAATTGCTCCTTCGGATATTTTCTGGCGACGCTGTCGCAGGAGCCCTACGCCACAGCTCCGCCTAGAGACAAAGTGACGATCGTAGGAGATGGAAATACCAAAGGTATGCATCAATCGCACCAAATACACAAACAAATTGCACGATTGTATTTGTATTTGTAACAGCAGCAGTTTCGATTCCTTCCAGCTGTTTTCGTTGATGAACGAGACATTGGCGCATACACAATCAAAGCCGTGGACGATCCGAGAACACTGAACAAAATCCTCTACATCAAACCGCCGAAGAACATCTATTCCTTCAACGAGATGGCTGCATTGTGGGAGAAGAAGGTCGGTAAGAGCCTCGAGAAAGAGTATATCTCTGACGAGCAGCTCCTGAAGCAGATCCAAGGTTATATCGATCATAATTAGCCCTAATTTCTTCCAATTGCCGCTCTTCATTAAATTTCAGATTGTGGTTCAACAAATCTGGCTGGGGATTGCAGAATCACCGGCTCCAATAAATTTCTATCTCGCTATCCTGCACGCCATTTACGCGAATGGCGATCAAACGTACTTCGAAATCGAGCCATCTTTTGGGGTGGAGGCTTCAGAGCTGTATCCTGAGATCAAGTACACCACTGTGGATGAGCATCTTCATCAGTTTGTGTGAGACTGCATATATATATATATATATATATATATCATGATTATGGCTGCGTTATTTAATTATTGTCATTTTATACAAATTAATACGGATGTGTTTGTTTTGTATATATAATTTTAAATATTTTTATCTTAGTTATGAAAAATGTGTAAGTAATATTAAATACAATATTGTGTTAAATTATTGGTCGGTGTATGTATATTGTATATATATTATATTATTTTTTTAATATTATTTGAAAAATGTATGGTAATTTTTTTTTTTGTTAGTTGAAGATACTATAGTTTTAAAATCAGACACGACCTTAAAAATTTGAGATTATTGACATGCATATATATATATATATATATATGGCTTGTTTTCTTGAAGTTTTTCATATTTTCATTTTCAATGTTAGGGTATGTTCAATCACAGTGATTTTGTTGAATTTTTAAATTCTGTATGTATTTTAATTCAAGTTTGATTTAAAAAAAATTAAAATTGAGAGGTATTCAATTTATTTTAAAATATGGATGTAGATTTTTAAAAATCTTTTAGAATCATGAGGTATTTAACAATGAATAAATTTTGTAAAATTTATGGATTTTATTGGATTTTGATAGACAATTATAAAAAAATTTGTACCGCGTCCTTATTTAACCGTATTTGATCTAAATGTGTCCAAATTGTGATGAATTTTAAAATCTCAATTTCCAAACCTCTAAAATTACAAATATATTTATTTTTTTTTTTATTTAGCCTTAAAAAAATAGTCAAAATAAATTCTTAAAACCTGAAAATAATAACTATTTTTTAGTATATTTACTAATTTTTTTAAAACTAAATATAAGAAAAATGAATATATTTGTAATCTTAGGGGTTTAGAAATTGAAATTATAATATTTATTCGCAATTTGGGCGCATTTATTTCAAATATCGTTAAATAAGAATCGTTGAAGGGGTTAGACGCAAAGTTTACGAAATCACGAGAAGTTTGATGCAGTTTTAGAAGTATAGGGGATTTGACGCAATTTCATGAAACCACATGTAGGTTTTATGTAATTTAGCCTTCTTAAAATTATTATTATTATTATTGTTGTTGTTGTTGTGGTGGTGGTGGTGGTGGTGGTGGTGGTGGTGGTGGTGATGATGATATATAATGATATTTATTAATAATTTATAAATATTTAATAAAAAATAATTTAAAACTAATATATATTAGCAAATTATTATTACCCAAACACACTTGTAACCCACACATATATATTTACCCAAACACACTTGTAATCCACACATATATTTAGCCCGTTAGGATGATATGGTGGTGTGAGGAGTTAACTTAACCGTGAGGTCATAGGTTCACATAAACGGATATCACATTGAAACAATGGATAATACAAATAATGAATATTTGATTATTACAAAATTTATTAATGGGAAAAAAATGTGCAATTGTAAAATTATCTTCGTTGTCCTCTGGCTTATATTATGTCAAAATAAGTGTCATAAAAACGTATTCGGAAGACCTGAAGTTTAGACGATTAAATAATTTTTTTATTTGGCACGATCGCCTCATGCATCTTGGAAATACCACAATGAAATAAATAATCGAAAACTCTATAAGTTATTCGTTGAAAGATTGAAAGATTTTGAATTCAAATGAATTCATTTGTGTTGCATGATCACAAGACAAATTAATAATCTGACCGTCAACAATCAAAGTTGGGAGTGAATATCCATTATTTTTTGAAAGAATCTAGGGTGATATACGTGGACTTGTAAATCCACCACGTGAGTCTTCTAAATATTTCATGGTGCTAATTGATGCATAAACGAGATGGTTACACGTATACTTACTATCTACGCACAATTTAGTATTTGCAAAATTATTTGCACAAATAATGAAACTGTGAGCACAATTTTATAATTATCCAATAAAAATAAATTCATCTCGATAACACTAGTGAATATTCATCACAAGCATTTGACGATTATTATTGCGTAGCTTTAAAAATAACTGTTGAACATTATGTTCTTTATGTTCACACTCAAAATGATCTAGCAGAATTCTTTATCAAAAGGATGCAATCAATTTTCAAACTCATATTTTCTGTTTTTTATTTTTTGACATGCAATATTAAATACATCAGCATTTGTGCAAATTAGACCAACAAGTTATTAGAAATACTCCCCAACACAATTAGTGTTTGGACAAAGAGCCAAATATTTCTCACTTGAGGATTTTTTGTTACACAATTTACGCGCCGATTGCACCACTTCATCGTCCAAACAATGGGCCTCCAACGTCGTTTGGGAATTTTTATCGTGTAAAAATCACCGTCGATAACTAAAAACTCAAGCCACCTACGGGTGATCTTTTTACTACACAATTTGCAAACTGTCATTTTGACGAAACAAATTTTTCGACATTAAGGAAATAACATAATCAACTGAAAAGAAATTTTTTTAAAAAAAATACCTATGAATTTCCTAGATCCTCGTTCATGACAATATGAATCAGAAGTATAAAAAATTGTACACTTGCAACATATTTCAAATTAGTTACCGGATATATTCAATGGTTCTAAGTACAAAAGTCACAATGTCATATATTCCATATATAGATTGTAGCCCATTTAGATATTTTGTAAGCTTAACAGTACATGAAAAGCTTGATATGCGTCTTATGAACGTAGTCACTGGTTACCTATATGACTCACTGGAGAATGATATTTATATGAAAATTTCTGAAGGATATGGCATGCCTGAAACATACAAAGCAAATCGCAGATAATGTTATTCTATCAAAGTACAAAAGTATTTATGAACTTAAACAGTTTTGACGCATATGGTATAACCGCATCACTGAGTGTTTAACCAAAAAAGATACATTAATGACCCAACATGTCTATGTGTTTTTATGAACGAAAATGATCGAAATTCATGATCAATTCAATATATGTTGATCATTTAAATATTATCGGAACCCCTGAAGAGCTCCACTAAGTTGTGCAATATTTGGAAAAAATTTTAAAATCAAAGATTTTGGAAAGATAAAGTTCTATCTTAGTCTGCAAATTTAATATATGAATAATAAATATTTATCCACCAAACAACTTATATCCAAAAGGTATTAAAATATTTTTATATGAATAATGCCATTAGGTCACTTAATCTTAATAATGATCCATATAGATCGGAAATAAAATATGAAGAAATAGTTTGTCCACAAGTATCATATCTCAGTGCTATAGGTGTACTCATATACCTAATAAATTGCACAGTGTTAGATATTGCATTTGCATTTAATTTATTGGCTAGATCTAGGTCATCTCCTACTAAACGACATTGGAAATGTGTTAAGTATGTTTGTGCTATCTCCAATGGACATATGATCTGGGCCTATTTTTTATACGAGTAATTATCGACACAAATTATTAGGCTATGCCCATGCTGGGTATTTGTTTGATCCGTATAAAGTACAATCACAAACCGGATATATATTTATATGTGATGATATTGTGATATCTTGGAAGTCCGTCAATTAGACAATAGTTGTCGCATCATCGAATCATGCGAAAGTATTGACTATTTATGAAGCCAGTCAAAAATATAGTTGGATGAGGACAATAACTCAATTATATTTGAAAAATTGTGAGTTAATATCTGAAAATAAAAATCCTCCAACAACTATACATAAAGACAATGCAATTTGCTCATGACCTTCCAAAGAATGTGCAACAAATTCGATTTTCGAAAAATTATGCAAAATTTATTAACCAAGGCTCTTCTAACAACAATCTAAAACAAATTAATGAAAGAAATTAGAATGCTTTGACTTAAAAATGTCAAATAAAATTCAAATTATAAAGTACAATACAAGAATAATATACTATTTTTTTCTTCATTGAGATTTTTTTCATAAAATTTTTTACTGATAAAATTTTAACGAGACAAATTTTTATATAAAAACATTTAAGAAAAAAGTCTTGTAAATGACGTATATATTATATAGTGCACATGTAATGATACATAGATGTTGTGAGACTATACATTTTTATATACCATCACAATACATAATAAGACATTTGAGCAGGTTATCCACACCTAAGGTGGAAATAGGCCAGGTTAGACCAGACTTTGACTAAATAGGCTTGGCCTGGTTTAAAAATATATAGCTTGAGCTTGGCCTAAAATCTGAAAAAAAAAAATATTTTAAAAGTTTAAGCCTGGTCTTTTTAAAAACCTGGTCTGGTCTACGAGCCTGTTTAAAATGCTATATAATAATTTTTTATTATAATTTTGTAAATTTAGTATTATAACAAGAAAAAAATACCATTATTTACATTATATATATATAAAATAAAATTATGTTTTTTCAATGACAAAAATAATAATATTAGTTTGTCATATAAAGTAGAATATATAATGATAATAGTTTGCAAATATATATATATATATATTACAATTCATAAAAAAATAAAAAAAATCATTATTTAGAATTGGAAGTCTGCATACACCAAATGAAAGCTAACAGAGATCACTGCATAATGACATTAAAAAAATATGTATTTTACATCAATTTATTTTCATTTAGTTGATTATTTTTACAAATAAAACACACAACAATTAACTAAAAAGTAATATTGAAAATTTCCACAAATTATTTAGAAATTAATAACATAGCTCCACCAGCCACAGGAATTGAGACTATTTCAATTAGGGTAAATAAAACAAAGAAATTGTAGGGGAAAGCAATATGTGTGCAACAACCGTTCATATATTGAAATTTTAAATTAGGATAAAAATTATTTTTATTTTTGTTTTTTTATAATAAATTTATAATTAATTTTTTTTAAAAAATATTATTATATTTTTATATATCATTATTAGATATAAAACTATTCTTAATTAATAATAAAGAGAAAATATTTTTTATAATAATAATAATATTATTATTAAATAGGCCGGCCTATTTGATAAAAATTTTTTTTGTAAGCCTAAGTCTACCCTATTTATATAAAAAAGCTTTAATAAAAATCTGGACCTAACCTTTTTAATAAATAGATCAGATCAGGCCAGGTTTTATTCAGGCGAAGTCGTAGGCATATATACACACGATATAAGATATTTCTACTGTGTGCAGGCGAGGTCGTAGGCTTTTGTAAGCCCTGGCCTATTTCCACCCCAATCCACACCCATATATACACACACGATATAAGATATTTCTACTGTGTGCAGTAAAATGGGCGCGTTTTTTTTTTTTTTTTTAAAAAAAAATTAAAATTTTATTTAATATTTATTATAATTAAATGAAAAAAATATATACAATATATATCATTTTGTAAAGAATAAAATTTTCTATAATACAAATAAATAAAAATTTAAATATATATATATTTGATATAATATAAATTCATAATTAAATCATACAATATAAATTTTATCAATTAAATTTAATATACATTTATATTATTTTATTCATTATCCATCAAATCAATACACATCAAAACTCCCCAAACCCCAATCAAAATCAAATACAAAAGAAACAACAAAATTCAAAGTCATCCCAAAATTCAAATAAAAACCAAACTCAAACCCAAATCCAACTTTTCCCAAACTCCCCCGACGAATCACACCCTCACATTTGTAATATACATTTATATAGTCATTTCATATCTACAAAATACATCCAAACAAACACCTTTGTGCATGTGACCCATGTATATATATATAATAGTTTTTATATATATAATAATACCCTGACACAGTTGCACGCGTTCCCAAATATATATATATACATGATATAATATATAATAATAGTTTATAAATAATATAATACCCAAACACACTTTACACGCTCCTAGGTTTGTGGATATATATTTATTGATTATTCCTATAATATATAATAATATATATATATATATATAAAGTAGTGGTGGTTAATGTATCTTTATAATAATTTTACGATAAATTATACTCCTTTCGGCCCAGAAATTAAGGGTGGGCACGGTTCAGTTATTTGTAAATATGCAGGTATTTGATAATTGAACCGAACCGAACAAATATCCGAAATCGCGAACCGTATTCAAACCGAAAATTTCGGTTAATTGAAATATTTATAGTATTTGCAAATAAGTCGAACCGAACCGAAATTAAGAAAAAATATATAAAAAAAAAATTAAAATTCTAATTAAATAAAAAATATTTGCAAATATTTCAAATATGTGAACCGAAACCGAACCGTATATAATTATTAATATAGATTTTAAAATATAATATTATAAATACATAAATATATTCGGTTCGGTTAACCGAACCGAAAAAAATATGAAAAACCGAAACTGAACCGAACCGAACAAATATCAAATATGCAGTATTTGTATTCGAACCGAATTTGCTCGGTTAACCGAAAATTCGGTTCGATTCAGTTCGGTTCAACGGTTAGACAATTCGGTTTGGTTTTTTTGCCCATCCCTACCAGATACCGTGTCTGCTACATTGTAGACACAATATTTTAGGAGGTGTGTAATTAGTAGATAATTAAGAATGTATTAGTGAAAATATCCTATAATATAAATAATTATAAATTAAGATTTTAAAATTAAAAAAATAAAATTTAAAATGAGATTAAAGTGTGTAATCATTTTCCAAAAAATGAAAGTGACATGGTATGTGGGACGGACAGAAACGGCAACATGGACATGGTATCTGGGACGGAGGGAGTATAACATCTTCTTCTATTTTTGTAAAAATGCATAAAGTATTATGTATTTTATTTATTGCATGAATATAAAATTTGAACGAAATATTTATAGTAAAAATACAAATAAAAAAATAAATTATACAAATTTTATACAAATATAAAATATCTTAAATATTTTTTTAAATAAAATAATTAATTAATTATTTATTTTATAATTTTTTTTAAATTTTTTATAAAAATTATAAAAATAAATTATTGATCAATTATTTATTTATTTATTTTATTAAAAAAATTATTTAAAATATTTTACAACAGCTGTTGAACTTGTCAGAACTTTAGAACCAATCATCACTTTTGAAACAAACACAATAAATAAATAAAACATGTATTTTGTACATTCTTATCAAAAACACAAGTAGACAATAATGTAACAGTGTATCATCTTTAAATATGTGCAAATCTTCAGAAAGAACCTGCAGAGCAGAAATGGAGGAGAAGAGCAGGATTCTGATCATTGGAGGAACTGGCTACATCGGGAAGCTCATCGTGGAAGCGAGTTTGAGGTCTGGTCATCCGACATTTGCGTTGATCAGAACGAGCACTGTTTCTGATCCTGTAAAAGCCAAAACCGTCGAAGGATTTAAGAGCTCTGGAGTCACCATTCTTAATGTACGGGTATTAATCTTTTGCAGCGTTCGATCTCATCTCTCTCTGCGCGAAGAACCGGTTGATGTCTTCCATTTTTACGCAGGGATTTCTGCACGATCACAAGAGTTTGGTGAGCGCGATTGAGCAGGTGGATGTGGTTATATCGACTGTAGGTGCGTCGCAGCTTGGTCATCAAGTTAAGATCATCGCTGCAATCAAGGAGGCTGGAAATGTTAAGGTTCTGTTCATCCGCTTGTGATTTTTCCGATTGTTAAGCTTCAATTCTTCCGGTTAACTGTCATGTTTCTGAATTTGGGATTAGGTCTAGGAACTTCCGATTGAATGATAACCGTTGGTGAAATTGGGGATTAGGTCTAGGAAATTCCGATTCAATCATCTTCCATGACCAATTCACCATTATCTGCAGAGATTCTTACCTTCTGAATTCGGCAACGACGTGGATCGCGCGCGCGGCGTTGGACCTGCGAAGACTCTGTTCAAAATCAAAGCTCAAATCCGTCGTGCTACCGAAGCAGAGGGAATTCCTTACACATATGTCTCACCAAATTGTACCTTCGGATATTTTCTGGAGACTTTGTCGCAGGAGCTCTACGCCACAGCTCCGCCTAGAGACAAAGTGACGATCGTAGGACATGGAAATACCAAAGGTATGCATCAATCACACCAAATACACAAACAAATTGCACGATTGTATTTGTATTTGTAACAGCAGCAGTTTCGATTCCTTCCAGCTGTTTTCGTTGATGAACGAGACATTGGCGCATACACAATCAAAGCCGTGGACGATCCGAGAACACTGAACAAAATCCTCTACATCAAACCGCCGAAGAACATCTATTCCTTCAACGAGATGGCTGCATTGTGGGAGAAGAAGATCGGTAAGAGCCTCGAGAAAGAGTATGTCTCTGACGAGCAGCTCCTGAAGCAGATTGAAGGTTAGATCGATCATAATTAGCCCTAATTTCATTTTCATTTAGAGTAAAAAGTCTCAATCAAACTCTTTCTTTTTTTTTTTTTTTTTTTTTTTTTTTTTTTCTGATCTTACTCAAAAAAAAAAAAAATTATCAAAATTAATCTTATACAAAAAACAAACTATCATTTTTAGTCCCATAGCTCATATTCAAATTGGCGTTATATAATAATGGGTGTGGATCCCAAGCTCATTATATTATGTGTGTGAGTCCCACACTCATTATGAATATATATAATAATTTATCTATGATATTTATTTGTTTTTTTAATTTAATATATTTAGTTATATATATTAAATTTAATTGATAGTATTTAATAACATTTAAAATTAGATTTTATTTTTTTATGTTTCAAAATTATTTTATTTTTATTTTTATTATTTTTTAAAAATATTATACTTTTAAATGATTTTTTTTCTTACTTTATAAAAGATAATCTCTATTTATTTTTGATAAATTTATTAATTTTAAATACATTTATTTATTACTCCCTCCGTCTCATGTACTATGTTCACGTTGCCGTTTCTGTCCGTCTCACATTCCATGTCATTTTTTTTTAAATGATTATATACTTTAATCTCATTTTAAACTTTTAATTTATTTTTTTTAAATTTTAATTAAACTAATTAGTTATCTTAATTTTAATTTATAATTATTTATATTATAAGATAATTATTTTCACTAATACATTTTTAATTATCTATTAATTACAACCCTTTAAAATACTATGTCTACGGTGCAGCAAATATGATATATGGGACGAGAGTAATATTTTCATATGAGTAGTGTTATTGATATTTTAAATATTTTAAATCTTATAGGAGTAGTATATAAACAATACTATTCATATATATTTAAATATTTTAAAATTTTAAAATAATATATATGAATAGTATATGTTAAATATTTTAAAATTTTAAATATACTTATATTTTAAACATTTAAAATATCAATAATATTATTCATATAAAAATAATAAATAAATATATTTAAAATTAATAAATTTATAAAAGTAAAAAAGATCTTTTTATGAGTGCCGGCTAGTCTATGAGTGCATATCAGTCTATCCTCTTTTTCTGCACACTGAGCTGGTGCACTACTCAGCTGGGGCACTCCTCCCCACAATGATGGCTCTGTTGTCTTGGGCAGCGTTGAAGCTATTCATCTTGACAAGAAATTCTATACATGATAAAAATAAAGTGAAAAAAAAAAAATCATTTAAGTATAATATTTTCAGAAAAAAAAAAATAAAATTAAAAATAAAATTAAAAATAATTTTGAAACATAAAAAAATAAAATTTAATTTTAAATGTTATTAAATAATAAATACTATCAATTAAATTTAATGTATATATAACTAAATATATTAAAGTAAAAAAATAAATAAATATCATAGATAAATTATTATATATATTTATAGTAAATGTGGAATCCACGCTCATTATTATATAACTCATAGTCCTTCCAACCAATTTGAATATGGGGCTTGAATTTGAACACGAGAACATGCCTTTGTTGGTATAAATATAGTATATATTGCTGATTAGAAATAACACGCCCGTGTTATTATTAACACGAGCGTGTTTGTTCCAAATCACTTGCCACATCAGATTTCGTTATGGCCACGTCAGCTTATTCCGTTGAAATTTTGTATAAGATTAATTTTGATGATTTTTTTTTAATCAGACCAAAAATTAAAAAAAAAAAAAAAAAAAAAAAAAAAAAAGAGGTTTGGTTGGGACTAAAATTAATTTTTCCTCTTAAATTTAAGATTGTGGTACAACAAATCTGGTTGGGGATTGCAGAATCATCGGCACCAATAGATTTCTATCTGGATATCCTGCACTCCGTTTACGTGAACGGCGATCAAACTTACTTCGAAATCGAGCCATCTTTTGGGGTGGAGGCTTCAGAGCTGTATCCAGAGATCAAGTACACCACTGTGGATGAGCACCTCGATCAGTTTGTGTGAGACTGCGTGCATGTATATATCATGATTATTGCTGCGTACTTTAGGTGTGTTTACCCGTAATATTTTAAATTAAAATAATTATTTAATTGTGATATAAATATTTATTGATGTAATATTTTGAATGTAAAATAAAATTTGATGCGATATAATAAATAAAATAATATATGTTTGATTTGGAGGTGTTTGACAAAATGTTTTTTTAATTCAAAAAGCTAATTGTTGGAAATGTTAGATTAGTTAGCGTTTCGAAATAATTTTGTCTGTTTAATTTTATTTTTTATTTGCTCTTAAAAATTTATTATGAATTTTACACAAATAAATATATTTTGATTATTTATTAATTATATTAGAATATTTTATTATATTATAGTTTATTTTTATAAATTTAAAATAATTAATTTTTATACATAAATTATTTTAATTGTAAAATATATAAAAATTTATTAAAATGAATACAAAATAGAAAATATAAATATTAATAATTTATTTTTATATTAAAATCACATTATATAAATTTTATACTGAAAATAAATTAAATTTATTGAAAATTATAAATATAATGAACTGATCGACAATTAACATAATAAATATATACACGAAAAAATTATAATTTTATATTTTATATCATTTTCAATAAAAAATATATTATTTTTTAAATCTAACTATAATAAAAATAAATACTATTTTATAACACTTTTACAATTTTCAATAACTAATAACAAAAATTTTTATACATTCTAAACTCAAAAGAACACAATTGAATATAGTAGAAAAAAATAAAATAAAAATGTCATCAATTGTCATTTTAGGTATAAACAGTTAATATCAAACAGTTTTTACCAAACATTTTTTAAAAAATAACTAATCGAATCAGCTAGTCAAACCAGCTAATTGAATCAGCTAACAGTTAATAAATATCGGCTAATTATTGAATTTTTTTTTTTTTTTTTTGCAAGAAAGTTAAATAGTAAAATCAAGGCTAAAAAACCCACAAGTAAACAAACCCTTATTATTGTCATTTTATACAAATTAATACGGATGTGTCAGCTTTGTATTTTTATTTTGAGTGTATATTGTATATATATTATGTTATTTTTTTTTTTTAATATGATTCGAAAAGTGTATGATAATTTTTTTATTTTATTTTTTTTATATATATTATGTTATTTTTTTTAATATTATTCGAAAAATGTATGATAAATTTTTTTATTTTATTTATATATATATTATGTTATTTTTTTAAATATTATTCCAAAAATGTATGATAATTTATTTATTTATTTTTGAAGATACTACAGTTTTTGAATCAAATACGGCCTTAAAAATTTTGAGATGATTGACATGCATATATATGGTTTGTTTGCTTGAAGTTTTTCATACTTTCATTTTGAATATTAGGTGGTTCATTCATTCACAATTCCATAGGATCTTTTTGAATTTTTAAAATTTGGTTGTATTCAACTGATACTTTAAAAAAAAATTTAAAATATGAATGTATTTAATTTATTTTAAAATATAGAGTATTCAATCTAGACTTTTAAAAAAAAAAAATCTATGAATTTTATTGAATTTTGATAAATAATTATAAAAAATTTGTACAGTAGAAAATTTCTTTCGAAAAAATAAAATAAAATGGATTCTTAAAATTATTATTATTGTTGTTGTTGTGTTGCTGGTGGTTGTTGTTGATACTATAAATAGTATATATTAATATATGTATATAAATATTATTAATTATTTCTAAATTTAAAAATATTGCATTGAGTTTGGGACAAATAAAAAATGAAATATTGCAAGGTGTTTGAGACAGAGGGAGTATGATACTATTTATTAATAATTCAAAAATATTTTATAAAAAATAATTTAAAATTAAAATATATTAGCAAATATTATTACCCAAATATACTTGCAGCCCACACATATATATACACAATATAATAATTTATACTTCCACCGTTCCAATACAATAGTTTTGCTTACTATTTTTGTATGTTTTGAAATAATAGTCTCATTTTCATAAATAATCATATCACCATAAAACTATCTCTATTTTTTCATTATTATTACGCGTCACTTTTTTTTACACTAATATACTCACAAGTGCAAAAAAATTATTTATTCATACTTTTTGCCAACTATCAATATAATATCAATATTTCTTAAATCTTGTATCCAATATAGTAAGACTATACTTTTGAACGAATGAAGTATATAAAATAATTTTTATATATAATAATACTCAAACACACTTGTAACCCATATATATACATACATACATACATACACAATAGAATAATATATATATAATAATAATACCCAAACACACTTGTAACCCAAACATATATATATATATATATACACAATAGTTTTTATATATAATAATACCCAAACACGCTTGTAAAGTTGTACATGTTACCCACATATATATATATATATATATAATTCTCCGTCTCCCTTCTAATAATCTATTCAATTTTTTATTTTAGTATATTCTATAACAAAATATTTATTTTTTTTTAGTAGCTGTACTTTCTATTAACATTAAAAATATTATTACAATTTACAATATATTACACAAATGTCATTACTTTTATATCACACAGTATTAATAAACCTATTTTAGTTTTTTCTACTTTATTCATATCATACCCTAATATAATACTAATATTTTCAAAACTTCGTGTAAAAAATAAAACAAATACATAAATAAGAGACGGATGGAGTAAAAATTAGCGACAAAGATAACTAATATCTCTATTAGTTATTGTTAATAAATTTATACATGCTATCAGTACAAACCATTCTTCCTCCACGGTATATATTGTAAGATTTGTATATCAATATTTTCATATGATTATTATTATTATTATTGCAATATAAAGATTTATATCACCCCTTATGATCATAAATGTATAAATGCATCTGGAATTCTTAGGTTTGAAAAGAAAAATAATTAAAGGCAATAATGCCACCAATCAAAGGCAAAATAAGACAACATTGAAATATCTAAAAATCAAGAATCAGACCTGTGAAATAAATTAATATAAATATACAATCACTTGAAATTGACCCTGTCAAAATTCGCATTAAATGATAGAAATTGGAACTTACAAAATTTCAAATCAGTCGCTAAATATAAACATTCTAGCATCTAGAAGATATCAAATGATTACATACATTGTTATATCACTTTCTCCGTCACCATCTATTATGTTATAATCTCCGCATTTTATATCCTATATGCATTATTAATATATTTGTATAAAAGTAACAATGTGATGGTAAAATAAAAATATTTGTGAAAAAAAAGAATATTTAATAAAATAATTATTTTATAATTGAACAATCTAAAATAAATTTATATATATATTCTAATTGGATGAAATAATATATGTTTTTTTAAAAGATTACAAAAATTATATATAATAAAATATTAAAACTAAGGGTATGTTTATTCAACCACAAATTTGAGATTGTCCACCGTTTTGCAGACAAGATGCAGGTTTTATTTTTTTAAAAAAAAATAAATTAAAATATAATTGAATATTTATTATAATTATAAGGAAAAAATATATATACAATATATATATATATACTATTCTGGAGAAAATAAAATTTTGTATGATATAAATAAATAAAAATTTAAATATATATGTTGGATATAATATAAATTTATAATCAAATCATACAATATAAATTTTATCAATTAAATTTAATACACAAACTCTGACCAAACCTAAACACAAAAGAAACAATAAAAATTTAAACTCATTTCACAATTCAAATAAAAACCAAACTTAAACCCAAATTTGCCCTACCACAAAGAAACACACCCTAAATTTCATCTAAACATTGATATATTCAAAATGTTATTAATAATAATTTATATAAAATGATCATAATTATACAACACAACCATAATCATCACTCTCACACAAACTGATCAAGATACTCATCTGCAGTGGTGTAGTTGATCTCAGGATACAGCTCTGAAGCCTCCACCCCAAAAGATGGCTCGATTTCAAAGTAGGTTTGATCACCATTCACATAAATGGAGTGCAGGATCGCCAGATAGAAATTTGATGGAACAGATGATTCTGCAATCCCCAACCAGATTTAATGAAGCAAATCCATTAATTATCAGCAGCAATTCGAAGAAATTAGGGCTTAAGATCGATCTAACCTTCAATCTGCTTCAGGAGTTGCTCCTCAGGGACATACACTTTCTCGAGGCTCTTACCGATCTTCTTCTCCCACAGTGCAACAATTTCGTTGAAGGAATAGATGTTCTTCGGCGGTTTGATGTAGAGGATTTTGTTCAGTGTTCTCGGATCGTCCACTGCTTTGATTGTGTATGCGCCAATGTCTCGTTCATCAACGAAAACAGCTGGAAGGAATCGAAACTGCTGCTGTTACAAATACAAATACAATCGTGCAATTTGTTTGTGTATTTGGTGTAATTGATGCATACCTTTGGGATTTCCATCTCCTACTATGGTCACTTTGTCTCTAGGCGGAGCTGTGGCGTAGATCTCCTGCGACAGCGTCGCGAGAGAATATCCGGCGAAGAAATTGGATGCGACAATTGTGTGAGGAATTCCTTCTGCTTCGATAGCACGCCGGATTTGAGATTTGCTTTCGAATATAGTCTTCGCAGGTTCAACACCGCGCGAGCGATCCGCGTCGTTGCCGAATTCGGAAGGTAAGAATCTCTGCAGACAATAGTGATGGAAGAAGATGATTGATTCTCTGTTTTTGGTGGTGGAATTTAAACAATTATCCCCAATTTCACGAGCGGTTATCGTTGAATCGGAAGTTCCTAGACCTAATCCCCAAATTTCAGAAACAAAAACACCAGAAGAGTTGAAGCTTAACGACGGAAAAATAAAAAAATCGGACGAACCTTAACATTTCCAGCCTCCTTAATTGCAGCGATGATCTTAAATTGATCAGCCAGCTGCAACGGGCCTACAGCCGATATAACCACATCCACCTGCTTAATCGCGGTCACCAAACTCTCGTGGTCATTCAAATCGCCCTGCAGTTTTCCCAAGCATAACCAGACACCAAAAAATGAAAAACATCAACCAGTTATTCACGCAGACAGAGACGAGATGGAACGGCGCAAATGATTAATACACATACATAAAGAATGGTGACTCCAGAATTCTTAAATCCTTCGACGATTTTTCCTTTTACAGGATCAGAAACAGAATTCTCTCTAATCAACGCAAATGTCGGGTGGCCAGACCTCGAGCTCGCTTCCACGATGAACTTTCCGATGTAGCCAGTTCCTCCGATGATCAGAATCCTGCTCTTCTCCGCCATTTTTGCTCCGCAGATTCTTCCTGAAGCTTTTCAGATACTTGAAAATACACTCTGCAAAATAGTCAAGCGCGCGACTGATATTTATATAGCACCGTGCTCTTCCATGTCACGCTTTGATTTGATTGTCTTTTTTTTTTTTTTTTTTTTTTTTAATAAAATATATATATTTTTTCATTTTGATCCAATCTCAAAATAAAGTATTACTCCCTCTGTCCGGATACAGAGATTTTAGGAGGGATGTAATTAGTAGATAATTAAAAAGGTATCAGTAAAAATAATTATCTATAATATATATAATTATAAATTAAGATTAAGATAACTAATTAGTTTAATTAAAATTAATAAAATTAAAAAAATTTAAAATGAGATTAAAGTGTATAATCATTTTCCAAAAAAGAAAAGTGACATGATATGTGGAACGAACAGAAACGGCAACGTGGACATAGTATCCGAGACGGATGGAGTATTTATTAGTAATTGTATTATCTATTTAGTATTAAAACTATATGAATAACTTACATTATCCTTTATCTGTGTTTCTTAACAAGTTATTTATTTGTTTTGCGTCTATTTAGCATTAAAAATATTGTTATAATGGTATAATATCTTATATAATATTTGTATTATAAAATAAAAATAAAAATATTTTTATTTTTTTTTAATTTGTACTTATGTATGAATATAATAGTAATATTTAAAATTTGACAATACAATATTGTCTAGACGCTCTTATGTCTACAATGATAGAGTTAAAATCACTAATTTAGTTATAAATTAAAAAACAATGAATAGAGATAATATGATAAAAATAGTGATATTTATTGTAAATAAATATTGAACGAATGATAATAATTAAATATTAATTTATTAAGTTTATCAAACAATAGTAATTAAATAAAATTAACGAGCAAAATAAAATGAAAAATAAGATTAAAATTGTCCAATGTGGAAATAACAAATTCAAATGTTTATGTACAAAAAGAAGTATATTAGGTTCTCCCGTATTTTTATTTATGATGAAAAAATATTTTCCAACGAGATCAAATTTGATTCTAGTAATGTTACGTATAGCTCTCATCGTTCGTGCATCGATATTATTTTATTTATGATGAAAAATATGAATAATACAGAGTGTGTTTCTTTCAACTCCAAATTTGAGATTGTCCACTATTTGGCCGACAAGTTTCAATTTAAAATATAATTAAAATATTTATTATAGTTATAGGGTAAAAAAATACATATAATGTATATATTATTTTTGTAAAAAATAAAATTTTCTATAATATAAAGAAATAAAAATTTTTATATATATATTAGGTATAAAATAAATTCATAATAAAATCATACAATATAAATTTTATTAATTAATACACATCAAAATTCTTCAAATCCCAACAAAACTCAAACACAAAAGAAACAACAAAATTTAAATTATTTTAAAATTGAAATAAAAACCAAACTCAAACTCAAATTTTTCCAAACCCCCCCTAAAGAAACACACCCATAATTAAACACATCTATTATACTACCTCCGTCCCATATAAGAAATATCAATTTGCTATTTGTACGTAGTTTTAGAAATATTATTATTATATTGGGATATAGTATGAATAAAATAGAAATGACTAAAATAACCTTATTAATACGTGTGATATAAAAATAATGGCATTTGTGTAATATATTGTAAGTTGTAAGGGTATTTGGAATGTTAGGTAGATAGTATAGTTACTAAAAAAAATTAAAATTGATACTTTGTTATGGGACAAATTAAAATGAAAAAATAGATATTTTGTTATGAGACGAGAGAGTATAAAGAAAATATAATAAACCAACAAAAAAAAATGGAAATTTGAATCTTACATACAATATACAATAGAAAAAAACCAAATACTGGAAAGAACGTATCTGGTTTATTTTGAGTCCAAATTCTTAATCAATATAATAAACCAGTTGCGTAAGGGATAGTCTGGTGAGGTAAGGGTTGGATTTGTCATCGTGAAATCATGAGTTCAAACCCCCGACGCCTCAAGCACTTTCGGGTAACGGGTTCTCACGTCATAAGTAAAATATATATATATATATAATAAACCAACAAAAAAAAATGGAAATCTGAATCTTACATACAATATACAATAGAAAAAAACCAAATAGTGGGAAGAATGTATCTGACTTATTTTGAGTCCAAATTCTTAATCACTTAAGTTGGGTATCAATTTTTTATTTATTTACTTTTTTTCGATTTACTTTTATTATATTTATCTTTTTCAAATTTCATCGCATCGGTTAAGCTAATTATATTTTCATATAGGGTAAAATATATACTAACTCAATCGGATCGCGTCAATTTCAAATGTGAAATTTTGACATAGATATAATATACTCCCTCCGTCCACAAACTAATGTCCTATTTTTTTTTATTTGGGACGTTCAATAATTATTGTCCTTTTTAAAAAAAAAAAATTTTTTACATTTTTACCCTTCATTCATTTATTACTTTTAATTTATACCATACAATTATGGGAAAATTTGTCAATTCATAATAAAAAAACAATTACCTAAAAAACCGTTCAAATATACTTTAGGACAGTAGAAATTGGACGGAGGAGTAGTATTTTTGTTGTAAGATCATAGTGTAATAAAGAAACTAAAACCAAATTAATTAAACAAAGCTGAAATTGTAAGTTAAAAGAGAAGAATCGACGAGTTTATTTGAAAGTGAAAGAATAGCATAGTTAATTAGTTATGAATGCGGACCTGATTTCGTCTAAGTTCAACTATGATTATTTAATCGGCACCTGATATCGACCACTACTAATTACATAAGGATAACGGTCCAATTCTAACCCAGTGTTTAGCGTGTTCAAATTTGTGTCTGACTCATTATTATTATTATTATTATTATTATTATTATTATTAAATCTATCTAAAATCTTTAAACTCAAATTTTATTTATTATTTTTAAATATATATATTTTTTAAATCCACATTTTCTTTTCAGATCAATTCAAAACTCCACACTTTGTTTAGAGAAATTTTTGGAGGATTTAGAAGTTTTGGAAATTTTAAAATTAATATTTTATGGTAAAAAAAAAAATAAATTAATTTAATATATATATATATATTAAAAAATAGTGTCAAAGTTTAAAGTTAGTGCACATCCCACAAACTAGGCCTCACAAAATAAGTTATACTAGAGAAACCATATATGGCAGATAAAATTCGAATGAGTCAAATTTAAATTCATGACTTTATGGTCACAAGTCCACCGATTACTATCATATCATCTCTTGGGACACATTTGATCATTTGTATTTTGAATTGAAAGTTTGTCGAGTAGTATTGTTAACATATATATATATATATATTATGTGAGCGTCGACATTCACTTAGTTATTAGGAAAAAAAAATAAAAAGTAACGTTGGCCAGATGGTATTCCGTTAAGCAACACTATAAAGGAAAAAAAAAAATCGAAGGACACCAAAGAATACGTAATTCTATGAAAGAACAAAATAAACATAAAATTTAATGGAGGAAAAAGATTCGGCAAAACTCCGGCGACCAATCGATCACGGAGGAAAATATAAAATGTGAGAGTGAACGCACCCAAATTTATCGCATCGTCGGTCATTCGATTGGGCTTGGGTCGGGCCGGGTCATGTTCGATGGGTAGGATCGATTGAAGTATGTTAACATCTTCGTCTTTATATATAATCCTCAAAAATCTTATAACTAAATAAATTCTGAAAATTACTAAGGGTGTGTTTGAATGGGGGATTGGATTTTAAATCCACTGTTCATCGTATATTTTTTCCAAAAATATCAAATCAAACACCTATTTTTTATTTTTGATATTATACTAAAAATCGATTTTGCATTCAAAATATCACATCAACACCTATTTATATCATATTATACAACTATTCAAATTTAAAATTTTTACTTTTTAAATTCTAACTTAAAATCCAAACCCCAAACAAACACACTGATTTAAATGTTAAGTTACATATATACATACACACATATATCATTCAATTCAATTATGTGTTCAATAACTTCATAAAATAAAATAAAATAAAATAAAAAGGAATAAGTCCATAATTTGATTTGATGACAGAGTCTAAAAATTCCAAAGATTATATTTTTGTGTGTTGTACAAAGATACCTGTGTTGGTAATAATATAAAAGATTTTTTAAAAAATGAACGAATATATATTACATTATGTGTTAAATGGTTTACTTTTTAAACATGAATGATATATGTGTTAAATGGTTGACTTTTTAAAACATGAATGATATATATTACATTAATGTTTGTATATGTGTATTTTTTAATAATATTTATAAGAAATTGTTTCATTCAGAAATGCCGAATCAGCGGTGATTGTTGTAACACAATGTTCTTATTATTTCACACAAATCAAACCATCCCTATACACACATTTGATCTTAATCAGCTCGAACCATCATCGTCCCTTGCACACGACCGGCGGCCGCCGCTGCCACCGCCACCGCCGCCGCCGACTCGGCATCCATGCCGTCGAGGATTTTCTGGGTCGGAATCGCTCGACTCCACGAGAAGTCCTCTAAGGCACCGTCTCCGCACCCGGGGCTCGTACGTAAGCTTCTCCGGCCGAGCCACATTGAACTCGGCCTTTTGCACAGTCTCCGTGCTCGGTTTTGGTTCCTTCGCGATGAGTTGTGCCATAGCCATGTGAACTCCCGGGTTCCTCTCGGTTATCGACGTGTTGACGACGATCGTGTTGTTGATCGCTTGCACGTTGTTGTTCACGTACGCCTCCGGTCGATTTCGATTAGCATTCGCTTCGTTTTTGTCATCGTCGTTCTTGTTTTTTTCGTCGTTGCTTTGGTCGATCTTGTAGCCCCGGCGGATCGGGACGAGCCCTTCGGACGAATTAGGCCCCATTTGCATTACGGCTCCCCTGTTTTCTCCGGCGAGCGTTATGACGCTGACGGGGTGGTCGGGAGCGGCGAATTTGGGATCGCCGACGCGGTTGACGAGCGTTTTGATGTCGTCCCTTATGTCCTTATGCATTGGGTCACGTATTTCCGCGACTCCGGCCGGTTTTGGAACTTCGGTCTTTTCGTCGATGGCTGTGGCGTCGGCGCGTGATTCAGTGATCTGACCGTTGTTGATTTCTTTCACTTCTTTGATTTCTTCGGGATTTGACGACGACTCGAGTTTCGTTTTGATATCTCCGGGGATGTCTTGAGACGAGGTTTTCGGCTCTTTCGGCGATTTTGCGGATTTCGGAGAGTCGGAGGATGTTTGTTTAGGAGAGCGGAGCGGCGAGGCCTTTTTTGGCGCGGACGGTGCGCGGGAAGGCGACGACGGGACGGATCGTGGCCGAGGAGACAGCGTGCGCGGAGGAGGCGATCGGGATTGCGGCATGCGGCGGGAGGACGATGCCGACGACGGCGGGGATCGAGCAGCCGGCGACAAGGATTGAGGCCGGATTTTATTGACACTCGTTTCGTCTTTCGTCGATTGCGTTGATGACGATGATGGAGGAGCCGGCGACGGCCGTGGCGGCTCAGCCTTTTTCGGTGGGGCGGTGGCAGCCGGAGATGATGACTGAGGCCGGTTTTTAGCGGTGTTCGTTTCGTTAGTCGACAATGATGGTGGCGACGGCAACGGCGACGGCTGCTCGGCCTTGGCGGCGGCAGGAGTAGGGGTTGATTGGTCGGCATTGCCGATTTCAGGTGGCGGCGGCGGCGGCGCTGTTGCCGGCGGTCGGGAGGCGGGGCGGCGGCGGGAAGCCGGGAGCAAGGAGCGGAAGAAAGACATGGGGCGGGGATTTTAATTTAGGTGAATTAAAATGAGACAATAAATAAATATGTTATAAGTTTGGGGTTTAAAAGGCAAAGGGTTTATGATTTTGTGAACCTTTTCTTGGTTTATAGTTTTTGAGGGAATCAAGTTTAGAATCTGTGGGAAACTTAAATTGAGATTGTTGGAAGGTGTCGTGTAGTGAGTGGATTCTTGATTCCTATTAAAATTTGAAGAAAACTAATATGCTTGTTCAACATTTTAAATAAGGTATTAATTTAGTGTTTAAAATAAAATATGAATATTAAATGTAATAATTTTGATGTAGTAATAATGAATCAATAATATAGTATAAGATTCAATATAAAACCCAAACCCGTCCACACAAAAATTGCCAAAAATCTCTGTAAGGATGACCAGGTGTGTTGGGAGTGAATCACGTGAGCGTGAGATCAGGAGTTTAAATCTGGTGCTTATATACAGATCCATCTGCTATAAATGATTCACTTAGTGTAACTTTCATTGTTGAGCTTAATTTGCAAAATACTAGGTTCGATCAAAAGTGGGATGTTTATACACAAAAATTATAATAAAGACAGCACCACATATGAATTTATATAATTTTGGAAGCAAATATATATAAATAATTTTTAAAAATAATATTTTAACACAATAAAATAATCAAAAATATTTGGGCTTAGGAGGCAATTACCCCAAACTCGAGTTGTGATAGTGTGAACTGACTCAATTTCAAATTCATTAAATTGACCCTTCAGATCACCTGCCACACATGATTCGCCTAGTGTGATTTACGTGTCGAGAGGGTATTAGGTTCGGTCGATGGTTTACCATTTTTCTTCCAATAAAAATAAATAAATAAATGTGTTTACTTGTGAAATTTTGAGTTTTATTTTGAATAATGAAACTTTGAATTGAAATAATTGTCTTAATGTTATATAAATACACATATTGACGTGATATTCTAAATGTACAATTAAATTTTAATCTACTATAATAAATAAAAATCAATATTTGATTTGATATTTATTTTTAAAAAATTAAAATAATAAAATTATTATAAAACCTCTTAACTAAACACTATTTGATATTTATTTAACAAAAATTAGAATAATAAAATTCCCTTACTAAGATAGAATGACCAAAATAAAAGCACACGACAAGGACGACTCAAAGACAATCCAACGACCATATTTCCTACCCACATAACAAAAACTAAACACTCTCAAATAATTCAAAATATTCGGGTAGATTTTTCTCAAATATATATATATATATATTGAATTTAATATTTTTTTACTAATAATTAGTAAAGAAAATTTGATATTTTTTAATATTTAAAAATATACAAAATAAACTATGTTCGTCACGCAAATTTTTTGAATCTCGATTCCCCAAAAATAATAAATTAAACAATCTATGCAACCCAAAAAATTGATATATTACTATGCAACCCAAAAAATTGTTGCCCTAAAACAAGAAGATCGAGATGAAGCGACCTAACCACCCATCCATGATAATAATAAAATGTCGATCACTCCATAGCCTAACCCATCGTATTGAGGGATGAAACTAAGCGGGCCTCCAACCCCTAAAAAAATATACTCTCTCCGTCCCATATACTTTGAGCGTGTTACTGTAGATACGAGAATTTAGATAAATATAATTAATAGGTAATTAAGAAGTATATTAGTAGAAATAATTATTATTTAGTAAAAATAATTATAGATTAAGATTAAAATAAGTAAATAGCTTAATTAAGATTAAAAAAATTATAAAATTTAAAACTTAAAATGTGATTAAAGTACATAATCATATTTTCGAAAAAGAAAATGACAAGTTACGTGGGACAGACGAAAATAGAAAATAAGGACAAATTATGTGGAACGGAATGAGTAAAATTTTATAATTTTTTATTTTTATTTTTATTTTTATTTTTAATTTGGCCCCTTCCCTCCCCCAATTTTAATTTTTTAGTGCAAAAAAAAATTAAAAACATATGTAGTTTTATTGATTTGCACTTCTAGTTTTTTAAAAAAACATATATATAGTGAAAATATAAAAATATATGCAATTTTGGTAAGTAGTAGTATTTCTCTAAGCATTTAACTATTGTCATTTTTTTCTCCATTTCTTCTTTACATTGCGAAAAAACAAAAAAAAAAAAAAAAAACGTCATCGAATCAGTAAAAATTGTTGGAAGTCCCGTTTGCGGATATATAATTAATGGCTGAGTTTTCCTAAAAGTTCGAGCTTTTAGGTGAGACGGTCATTCAGCATCCGACAAAAATGAACTGAGATTTTGCCCGAGTTATTCCATTTCTTCTTCATGAGTTTCTATGTGAGAGTTTCGAGTGAATTTGGAGTTATTCCGATTAATTTTGGGTAAGAATTTTCTTGGGAGAGAGAGAGAGAGGGGATAGGGATTCTCCAGGAAAGCTGGAATATGCAATAAGAGTCAAGATATTATTGTATTTGTAGGGTCAAAAAATTCAAAGCATAAGAAAAAATGAAGAAGATGGATTCTGATTTTTTTTGAAGATACATATATATATATATATATATATATATCTAGATAGATTGAATTTGAAATGGAAGAAGAAATGGTATTGATTCTCGTCAAAATTAATTAATTAATGTAATCAAGATCTCTATATATCGAGGAGCATAAAGTATATATAACATTATTATCTACAAAAATGGTCGATCATTAATTCGATTCCAAACATGTAGAATAATATTATCCGCGGCTTAATTTCATCTTTATTAGCTCCTATATTCATGTACTTCGTTATTCATCCCATAGACATCGATGACTTCAATATATATATATATCTCATTTTGACAAATGGTTTTTTAAGATGAATAATTCGATCGTGATCTAGTCCACTATTATATTACACTACAATATGATTTTCTTTTTTTTTTTTTACTATACAATTGATTCATCGTTCTCAATAATAAATAATTATATAAAATATTACATCTAGTTATTATTTCATATCAAAACAACAAAAATTAAAATTTACAAAAAAAAAAAAAAGAAGAAGATAATTTCGAATATATATATATATTTTAATTCCAATCAAATCGCTGAATTATAAGTTCAACTATTATGCCAACTAAACGAGTACTGTACGAGTTTCTTTGGGATGTATAACTTTAAAGTTCTATAGTTTTTTTTTTTGGATGACGTGGGAACCTGCAGCCGCTATCCGAAAGTGCGTACTGGGTAAACCTCCGGCCGAACCTAATACCCTGCGAATCAAACCCGACGGGAAAGTCATACTAGGCGAACCATGCGTGGCAGGTGATTGAGGCGTCGAGGGTTTAAAAGTTCTATAGTTAATTGATTGTGGTGTGCTTCCATCATCAATTTTGTTTGGCAAAAAATCAACTTTATATTTCATGATGCATCAGAATATATCTGTGGCCAGATGGAAGAATCCATATTTATTTATTTATCTATCTGATCTTAATCGAACCAATGCAATGCAAGAACTCAACAAGCTTCTTCTTCTTAATAATAATAATAATAATAATAATAATAATAATAATAATGTGGGGGATCTAATCCCAAATCCTATTTCTTCATTTCCCACCAGCTATTTGCAATTCCTTATTTTGTAGTAATCCCACTTGTTTATGATCATATTATTATTATTGCTTCATCTGTTCCGGATATTTTGTCCGCTTCAGAATTTAGGAGGAATATAATTAGTAAATAATTAAAAATATATTAGTGAAAATAATTATAGATTAAGATAACTTATTAGCATAATTAGAATTAAAAAAAATTATAAACAAAATTTTTTTAAATAAGATTAAAAGTGTATAATAATCACCATTGAGATGGTTTAAAAATTATTCAAAACAACTTTGTTTCAAGGCCAGATAGTATGGGGATCAATTCAGCAAGTCAAACTTATTTTAACAGTTGTACATACATTTTTGAAATTATTTATTTTAACTTCTAGTTTTTCATATACTCTATAATTTAAATGAATTTATTTTGACAACTCTAATTATGTAATTTATAAGAAGAATTCCACTTGGTGATGACGATGACAATGGCGATAATGTATTATTATATTTAAGACAAGGAAAAAGGGGTTATTTTTGCAAGAATCAAGCAAACCCTTTGTCCCCTTCGTCTATATAATTTATCATTTCGCTCTCCACTTGTACACTTTCTGACTTTAACTTAGGACTATTTTAATCAAATCGCCTCTCTCTCTCTCTCTCTCTCTCTCTCTCTCTCTCTCTCTCTCTCTCTCTCTCTCTCTCTCTCTCTCTAGATATATATATATCTAGAGATATATAGAGAGAGAGAGAGAGAGAGAGAGAGAGAGAGAGAGAGAGAGAGAGAGAGAGAGAGAGAGACGATGTACTATACTGAATTTTTAACAGTAGCCATATGTGATGATAAGCATATATACAATATAATACTTATTCCAACAAGTATCATGTCTCTTTACCCCCCCGCCCCCCCCCCCCCCCCCCCCCCCCCCAACGCACCCTATATATATATGCAAGTGTTAAGACAATCTAGTCATTGAGACAAACTAGTGACACACTCGAAACAACAATTTGTGGATTATTATTGATTAGGGTTTTCTCAAAGAAATTAATCTTAATTTTCATGGCGTGGACGACGAAGCAGAACAAGCAGTTCGAGGAGGCGTTGGCGAGGTTCGACAAGGAGACACCGGACAGGTGGCAAAACATCGCGAGGGCCGTCGGAGGAGGCAAATCCGCCGAGGAAGTCCGGAGACATTACGAGGTTCTTCTTAAGGACATTATGCGGATCGAAGCGGACCAAGTCCCCATTCCCAATTACACTGCAACAAGACGATCTTCTTACACTACTGTTACCACCAATCAATATGATCACAGGTTAGCCAATCCATTCTTTTTTCTTTTTTTTTTTTTAAAAAAAAAAAGAAATTTGTAAGAAAAATTAATATAAGGGCACATGAAATATAATCCTTTTTTGGGGTTGTGGTTTAATTAATATATAGTACAATGTAACGGCACATTGCATATAATATTGAAGTAGATAAGATTTGTCACATGATGTATGAATTATGATCAAATTGATTTATTTATAAATTTGTTTCTACAAAATTCCTTCATTGATCCCAACGTTATATATATATATATGTATGTATGTATATATGATGATGACTGAGCAGACAGACAACAAACACAGCAGTTCCTGAAAAGTTGTGCTGCTGTAGGATAATAAAAACAATAATATCACAAAACAACCATATCCCTTGAGGATATTTTTTTTTATATAATTCTTCTTCTTAGAAATTTCATCAGATATTTATTTATACTTTCTTGCAAATACTTAAATTAATATTCAATTTTTAAATGATAAAAATAATAATGATTGATTTTTATTGCAGGCTTATGAAGAATCTGAAGCTCTACTGATCTCTCTCTCTCTCTCTCTCTCGTCAATGTGGGCTTTTTTTTTTTTTTTTTTTTTTTTTCTGGTAAAAATATGATCCAAGTGTTCATTCCCTCGTATTTGAACAAACCCTAAATGTGTGTTTGTTTGTTTGTTTAATCCAGTTTCTTCACACTCCAAATGTAATCTTGTAATATTGTACTGATTGTCTGATTCCGATGTTAAGTTATATATATATATATATTTCTGTATCAGTGGTGCATTAATTTTCTGGAATCCCAAAAAATTAAATAAATATGAAAAAATGGAGATGCGGGGTATCGATCCCCGTACCTCTCACATGCTAAGCGAGTGCTCTACCATCTGAGCTACATCCCCATTTGTCTTATTTTATTTTATTTATGCAATTTATTATATAATTTTTAAATGTCCAATTTTCTGGGCTAGGGCGTCACTATTAAAGCCCAGCCCAACTGGACGGACAGACAAGTTTAATTAACCCACCAAATATATTGAAAAAATTTAGTTGAAGAACAACAAGTATTAATTTATTTTAGCTACGTTTTCTTTGACTTTAATAGAGATTAAGAGTGTATTCTTTCTATCCTTTTTTTTTACTTTAGTAAAGATTAAGGGTGTGTTTTTTCTTTTTTCTTTTTTTTTTTTTTTTTACTTTAATAAAGATTAAGGGTGTATTCTGTCTATTTTTTATTTTTTTTTTACATAAATATTTTCAAAAAAAATTATACACTACACATCTTCGTAATTTTTATATTTGTTATACAATTTTGAATTTTCTATAGTTTACGATATAAAATTAAAAAAAAAAAAAAAAAAAACTTTCCAATCATTTCACAAAAAAAAAAGGGACACCCTTTTTTTCAACTTAGAACATATACAATGATTGTATCTAAATAAAACCTATAATAGCTTACGCGGCTATAAAGTAGCTTAGGAAAATTCTGACTCTAAACATTGGACAAAAATAATTACACTTATACTTTTGTTACGTACGAAATTTAGAATTAGGTTAAAAGCCCAAGGTAAAACGAGGAATGGGCCTGGCAATAGGGTTGATTGAACTGGCTGAAGGACACCGTGAGGAAATCAAGGAAAATAAATTTATTTATTTATTTCTAAGAAAATTTCAGGACGGAAGGTCTTCAGGTCGAGAGGTCCGCAAGACGGAAAGACCTCAAGTCGGAAGGTCTTCAGGTCGGGAGGCCCTCAAGATGAAAGACCTCAAGTCGGACGGTCTTCAGGTCGGGAGATCCGCAAGACTGAAAGACCTCAAGTCGGACGGTCTTCAGGTCGGGAGGTCCGCAAGACGGAAAGACCTCAAGTCGGAAGGTCTTCAGGTCGAGAGGTCCGCAAGACGGAAAGACCTCAAGTCGGAAGGTCTTCAGGTCGGGAGGCCCTCAAGATGAAAGACCTCAAGTCGGACGGTCTTCAGGTCGGGAGATCCGCAAGACGGAAAGACCTCAAGTCGGAAGGTCTTCCGGTCGGGAGGTCCGCAAGACGGAAAGACCTCAAGTCGGAAGGTTTTCAGGTCGGGAGGTCCGCAAGACGGAAAGACGATGAGTCGGAAGGTTTTCAAGTCGGGAGGTCCTCGAGACGGAAAGTCGTTGAGATGGGATATCCGCAGGTCGGGTAAACTGTAGGTCGGATAGAAGGAGGAGTCGGACAAACACGGAGGCCTTTGATCAAAGACAGGGGGCGGTTGATATGGAGGTCGGCCCAAGTGGGGTCGGGCGAAGAAGTAGGTCGGACGAAGGACGAAGTCGGGCCAAAAGAGCGGAAGGTCTGTGGTCGGCTCAAGGAGTGAAATATAGGGAATTTTGGTCTGCTGGGGACACGTGTCAGCATAAGAAAGGTTGGAAGACGGTTGAGAAGGAGACGTTGTAACCGTTCGGGTGACGGTTTTCAGTACGGTTTCCCAGGGAATATTTAAGGATTTGGATCATCATTTGGCAAGGAATCTTCAATCAACTTCAACAAAGCAAAGTCAGATTTGGGGATCACCACTTTAAATTTCAGTCTTTTATTTTCCAGTTTATTTTCTGTACCGTACAGTGTTTAGAGATTCCTAATCTCAGGCACTAATTAATCAAGTTTAAGGATATTTTCTATATCTTTGAATTTTACTTTATTTTTGTTGAAAAATTACATCAACAAATTGGCGACCACAGTGGGAGCAAGACAAAATTGCTCATTCCAATTCCGGCGATAATTTCATACGTCTTAGATCCGGCCGAATCATCGGAAGGGTCCATATGGCAGGGTCACAACCGCAAGCATCTTCGACACCGGTGGGAGAATCCGTTCCACCACCCATTGTGCCAAATGCCGGGGAAATCCCACAACCACCAACTGATTGGTGGTCTTATGTTCAACAAATGAACAACCAGCATACCTTGGTTATGCAGAATATGTTGCGTGAGCAACAAACGAACATGTTGCGTGAGCAACAGAGTCAGTTGCAGAACATGATAGATCAAGCATTGTCAAGGGTTAGTCTTCAACCCACTCAAACGCCACCAGGAGTGTCACCGTCCAGACCACAGGCAAATTTCGCAGGGCCATCATTCGTGGATAGTACATTCCCAAGTGCCACAAATCCCAACCGAATGGATCGGGGAAAAACTCCTTTGACTTTTCCCAACAATGTTCCACTGGGACCAAGGGTTACCAGTTCGCAGCCGAACAATACAAGGGAGGACAGGCCTGAAGGATATATACATGATCCGATTCATATTCCTGTGCAGGATCCGTTCCAGGTTCCTGATCATCAACGCTTTCATGTAGATCCTGATGAGATTGCACATATATTAAGGGATCAGTATGGATTAACTCCTCAGATGGCTAACCGCCCTGCATATCAAAGACCTTTCCCAGAAAGGATCATTCATGAACACCCTCTCCCAAGGAATTTTCGACCACCCGACTTTCATGCATTCTCAGGGGAGGACGGATCTTCCACCATAGAACATGTTGGTCGGTTCACAGCACAATTAGGAGAGGTTGGCAATAACCCTTTTTATAAGTTACAGCTGTTTGGTTTGTCTCTTACCAGAACGGCGTTTTCATGGTTTGTAAGTCTACCTCCTGGACAAATTCAGACATGGGAAGGATTGGAGATGGCATTTCACGCTAGATTCTTTAATCCTTTACCAGTTGTTTCTTTAACTGATTTACTTGAATTGAGACAGTATCCAGAAGAAACTGCTTCACAGTTTATAGAAAGGGTGCGATTGATGAAGGGACGATGTCCTACGGTAATCAGTGAGAAAGAGATGACCAATTTAGTGGTCCGGAATATGCATAATCGTTTAAGAAAGGCACTCACTGCCCTGGATGTTGAGGATTTGGCAAATCTTGCATCCAAGGCAGGACGTCTAGAGTCTTTGTTCAGAGAGGAAGATCAGCATAACAGGCGTAATAGAGGCCAACATATGGCGAGTATGGGAACAGAAACATGCGACTTTGATTTTAATCAGTCAGAAGAGATGGCAGCCGAAATCCTTTCTGGAAAACCGTATGTATGTCCTAAATTGAAGCCAGTACCAGGATCTGAAGGAAAGGAGCAACCGACCTTTGATAGTTCGAAAGCTGATGAAATCTTTGATATCCTACTGACTGATGGGCAGATCCGTATTCCAAAGGGCCAAAGACTTGCCACTAAAGAAGAAATCAAAGGGAGACCATATTGTAAGTGGCATAATTCTTTCACACACACTACAAGTCAGTGTACTCATTTTAGGAAGGAAATTCAAAAAGCCATCAAGACAGGTCGGCTCAAATACATCACTTTAGGTGTAGACCAGCAACCATTTCCGAAAGTAACAACTGCAATGGTTGACATCCAACCAAGTTCGGAAACAAGGAAAAGTTCGGTCAATAGTGGACAAACAGGGGAGCAAACTCAGGCAAGTCCCGGAAAAAAGAAAGGGAATCAGCCAAATAGCAGCCGACCGGAAGAACGACTCAAGGTTGTTGAAAGGCCAGTCGCTGAAAAATGGGACCGTCCAGACGGTTCTTTTAACGTGGAAGTGAAGGAAAAGGTTTTAGTGAGAGACCACCCGACCAGAAAAACGGGTTCAGTCGGGAACGATTGGGCTCGAAATAAAAAGCCTTTACCCGTTGATATAGATCCTCGTTTCCCAGGTATGAATCGTACACAGATTCGCAATGCCAAACGCAGGTATGCTGCAAAGTATGGGAAACGAGTTCCTGCAGTGCAACAAAGAACCGACGAACAAAATGCGGCCGACCACTTGACAGGAGATCAGTCCATTAGAGTCTTTACAGAACAAACGACCGACGAGCAGGGAGCGGCCATTCAGTCTCCAATAAGTCGGTCCAGTCGGGTCTGGTCAGGAAAGCAACCGAAGGACGGATTAGGAGCTTCCGACTATACCAAAAGAAGTTCGTCGGGACAGGGGAAAGGTAAAGGAATGGCAGATGAAATAATTAAAGGTTTTAGATGCCAACATTGTGAACGGATCAACATCAATCCATCTCTGGAAGAATTTCGTATTGAATCCTTGACGGTTCAATCTCGAAATGAGACGAAGGAAGAAGTGGTGCCTACAGAGGAAAATTCAAGATCTGTTAAATCTCGTCTGGGACCACGAATCCCTTGTCGAATGACAGAGGTTAACCAGATGAGTGATGAACCGACGTGGGCGAGTCTGGTAGATGATACTATGGACGAACCTTTATGGGCATTCTTGGCAGATGGCGAATTAGAGGAAACAGAGTGGGCAAAGATTACAGATTCTGAGCCTCAGTCGGAAGCACCTTCAATTGTGTTTCCTCCTATTCCAGAGGGTGCGAACTCCCATTTGAAACCCCTGTATGTTAATGCTCACATTTGTGGGAAACCAATCACAAAGGTTTTCGTGGATAATGGAGCAGTCTTTAATGTTATGCCATTGAAGACTCTCAAGAAGCTAGGGAAAGGAATTCATGATCTGTCCCCTGTGGAATTCGAAATGACAAGTTTTACAGGGCAGCCGACCAAGCCTGAAGGTATGATGGTTGCCACAATTGAGGTCGGACCAAAGAAAATTTCCACTGTTTTCTTTATTGTGGACGCAGATACTACATACTCTCTTTTGCTGGGACGAGATTGGATTCATGCCTCTCAATGTGTGCCATCAACCTTGCACCAACAGTTAATGTTCTGGGAAGGAAATCAGGTCTTTAAAATGGAAGC